GAGATCAGATAGACATGACCATATCGTGAAAAATCGTCAATAAAGGTAATAAAATACCAGGCTCCGTGTCTCGCCCTCACACTCATTGGACCGCAGATATCAGAATAGATTAATTGCAATGGAGATTCAGCTCTTTTTCCCTTACCGAAAGGCTTTCTTGTTGCCTTACCAGCTAGACAGTTTTCACATAGTGACATTTTCATATTGGAAATGGCACCTAACAATCCTTCTTTTGCTAGTTTAATCATTCTATTTTGATTAATGTGTCCTAGTCTAGCATGCCAGGTGTTTATGTCAACATTATTCAAAGAAACAGCAAAGCATTCATTACCATTGAAATCACCAACAATATCCAAAACAAAGAACTTCTTAAACAGGAAAGCTGAACCATAAAGAACAGAGTTGCTAAAAATGTCTGCAACTTTACCATGAAAGTTTACATTAAGCCAAAATTCTAACAAACACAATACAGAAACCAAGTTCCACCGGATGTCGGGAGCGTAAAGTACATCATGGAGTATCAAGGTCTTCCCACCACGCAAAGTAAATTTGCAGGTGCCCAAACCTTTAACCTCGATCCTCGCGTTGTTTCCAATGTAAAGCCACTTGCTTTGATACGGCAACCGACGGTACTCGATAAAGGATCCTCGATCCTTGGTTACGTGGTCTATGGAGCCTGAGTCTATAATCCAAGAAGCAGAAACAGGTTCTGTTAGAAAAACAGTACTAGAAACATATGAAACATGTGAATTCACATAATTCACTAATACCTTTTCGCTCTCAGCCTGCTTTGAACAGTCACGTGCGAAATGGCCCACTCTCTGGCAGGCAAAGCATTTGACCTTCTTCAGGTCTAGCTTCTTCTTCCTACCTTTCTTTCCCTTCTTCTTGAATTGCTTCTTTCCCTTTTTAGGTTGAGGACCACCCTTCTTCCCTTTCTTTTGAAACTTTTTGCCCTTCTTGGAATCGGGCCTTGATTGGGAAGTACCGGCATCCTCAGTGTAATAAGATTGTCTAGAGGTCTTGTAAGCCTCTAAACGTTCATCCTCCAGCTCCAAGTGTTTGGCTACATCGTTAAAAGTAACGATGTTTTTATTATGGGTCAAGTTGACTTTCATGTGCTCCCACCTAGCAGGAAGCGATCTGATAACAGCCTGCACTTGCTGTTCATCAGACAGGACATGGCCTGCTTCCTTAAGTTCTCTGATCATGTTGGCCATCTCTCTTAGATGTTGTTTCATAGGATTGTTTGGCTTGAGCTTGTAGGTTTCGAACTTAATCGTCAACCTTCTAAGTTTAATGGTAGAAGTACCACCAAACTTGTCTTTCAACGCTATCCATGTAGCCTATGCAGTTTTGTGCCTTTCAAACTCGCACATGATGTTATTAGCCATGGCACTCAGAAGCGTAATTCTTGCTATGCTGTTTTTCTTCTTCCAAACTAGGTAAGCCTCTTGGTCTCTCCTATGTTGGGCCGTACTCCCAGCTTCAGGTTCGACCATTGCAGTGGTTAAAGGTTCAACTGCATCTTGTTCCTCCAAGATGTATTGAACCTTTTGGTGCCATATGTCCCAGTTATCCCCGTTGAGCTTTTCTCCCTTATTAAGCTCAGCAATTATGTTCTTGGTTGCCATTTTCAGTTCTGTGACAAATTTATCCCACATTATTCTACGTTCTCTCTAAAAGAGAGACGTACCATAGAACATTTCAGTTATATATAGCATAGCGAAGTATACAATGTCCTGTACTTATATCCTCCTTGATCAGAAAGTAATGATACTACAAAATCCATGATCAAGAGCATACGTTTGTACCTCCCATCACACAGATACAGGCAACAATCATTATGTCCTATCAAAGATTTTATATAAGCACTTCAAAAATTGTGACTCTTAGAAGTCTTATCTTCTAAAAGCTCCCACTTATAAAAAGCATACACATATTATTCACAAGATAATCATACAACAACAATTCAAGTAATTTCATTAAATGAAACAACATACTTAGTCTGTTTACAATGCATGAAACCATAAAAAATCTTAATACAACAAATATTAATAAAGCATATATAAATATTACATTATTTGATATGCACATAAAGGTAATCAAGCATTGCTTTCCTTAGGCTCCTAAGTTTGAGTGTTTTGTTCATAAAGGAAGATACTAGCTCTATGGCCCAAATCCAATAAGACTTCCTTATGGGTTTGCCTTTAGGTCCGTCTCTAACCCTTATTACTCTTATGTACTCCATTATGACTTTAAGGTAGAATTCGGTATTCTTTTTATCGGTCATGTAATAGACGTAGCTAGCGAGCACGCCATTGATGCCTTTTATGTTTGTCAATTTGGCTACATCTCTTTCAGCTATTTTCATGGCTAAAGCAGGGGTACAGGGTTGATCCACCTCTTCGCCTTTCTCAACTTCGGTTTCGTTGGGAAGATCTAGTGAATCATTAAAGACCAAATGAGGTTTGGTACGGAGGGGTTCAGTGGGGAATAAAGATTCCGACTCAGGTCCAGAATCCATTAACTCCTCTGGGTCTTCTTGAGGAACCTCTTCAGGGTCCTCTTCAGGATCCTCATCCTCTGGTTCATGTTCTGGAACTGCATTATCCATGTATGAGTATTCCAATGAACCATCTTTAATATTTTCAGTGCTACTAGAAGCCTCTTGCTTCATTTTCACCTAGAACAAAAAAATTTAAATTATTTTGAATATTCTGAAATTTTTTTATCCACATAAAAACACCAAAAAACGCACTAAAATACTCATAAATGGATCCTAAATTGCCTCTAAAATTATCAAATTATATATCAAAATAAAGATCTTGATTTTATGGACTTTTAGAGACAAACCGCACCTCAAACGAACCTTGCACGCGCCTACACGCGCCCCTAGAAGCAGAAAATCCTAAAAAAATTTTTAAAAAAATTTTATGCCCACTCGCCTAGATAGCGCGTGTTGTACACGCGTCGCCATTCTGATGGCCGATGGCGACACGCACTACCCCCTTTCAAATGGGGTGGCCCACAAGTCAAACAGGTGAGCCACGTGGCCTCACGTGCCACGTGGCAGTATTTAATTTTTTTTAAAATTTAATTCTTTTTTTTGTTTTTTTGGTTTGTTTTGGTCTGGGCTGGATCCTGCCTCCAGCCCAGTACATTCCTTTTTTTTGTTGTTGTCTGGGCTAGATCCTACATCCAGCCCAGTATATGTTTTTTTTTAATTGGCACGCAAAACGGCATCGTTTGGGGGGCTGGAGGTTGTCTTCAACCTCCAGCCGGGTCTGATTGACCCAATTCCTTCTTGGGTCGAGTCCGTCGGACCCGAAAATTCTTTCCACCATATCTCCTTCATCCAACGTCCGTTCTTCGTGTTCTTGGTGTCATTTTCTTCATTTTTCCGAGCTCTACGCAATGGGATAATTTTTGAAGCCTAAAAACTTCATTTTCCAGACACCCAAAAATGAAAACTTTTACGGCTCAAGAATGAACTCTACTGGTTATGAGTTTCATCCTTCCAAACCTATGTTTTTACCGTTTTCCAGATGTTTTTAATTGTTTTCGGTCATCTCCCATGCAGACTACTATGATATATAATAGTTGGAGACAACAACAAAGAAAGTTGTGACATTCGACAGTCATGGAAGCAAAGGAAAACTATAAATAACACACAATCATCATAGACAACTATCATACTGAATATAAAACAGGATTTGCATAATATTTGAGAGCAAATCTAAAGTAGTGCCAAACCGTAAGGCACACAGGGGGAAAAAATGAAAACACAGAATTGCATAAAGAAATGAACAGCGGAAGAAATAACGCAGGCTCTGATGCCAATCATGGTGTTCAGGCATACCTGAAGTGTCGAATAATCTCAGATTTAGATAGCCACGCACGGAAGTCCGATCACGGTAATGGAGTCGGAATGGATGTTCACAGCAAATGCACCTTTTTTCGGAGAATGAGAAGAGAGAACGCGGGAGGGAAGAAAGCAAGCCGGTGAATTCAGTTTCTTAAATTGATTTTATAACTTAAAAAACAAAAACTTCTGCCCCCGTCTGTCCTTATCCATAATTTGAAGAAAAATTGCAAATCACCATTTGAGACCCACAGGTTATGTTATTCGCATTAGAGCCCCAAAGTTAATGGGCTTGGGCCCAATCCACCAAGGGTGGACTGGCCCATTTTCCTACAGTTTCCACACCGTCGTTCTTCTTAGTGGCAAGATCTCCCTACAACTCATTAGACTGTTGCCATCATGCTTTACACAGAGCCTATTAGATCTGTGTGGAAAAGCCATGGACGCCGGTGAAGAAAGAGAGAACAAAATGTAAAAGAATGTTGCCTTCAAAACATACGCTGTCAATGCTGAAGCGTAGGAAGCTTAAATGAAAAGACCATCCTAGCTATTGAGACTCGTAATGCGTGAGAAGAGGAGAGAGGCAAGTGATCACGTGAAAGAAGGAGAATAACAAAGAGAAAAGTCAAAAAGCAAGAGGAATGTACAGATGATAGGTAAGAGAAGAAATTAAAAAAAATCATGAAAAAGAAAATTCTTGTACATATAAATGTTTTGTAATTTATATATTTATTTAAAGACTAAATATTTTGTTTTCAAAAGTAAAATATAAATATTTTTATGTGTTTTAATTAAATTATAATATATTAATTATTATCGGTTTGACTCCGGTCTGACCCCGGTCTAACCCACTAATCCTTAAACCACTGTCTTAACTAATTTAGTGACCAGTCCGGTTTTTAATACTTTGGAACGGACAAACTCATCCAATTTCTTAGCTTATTTTATTGGCTGCAGTTTGAAAAACCCCGCCAAAATAATAATAATTTATTGGCTGACAGACGCGAAGTTTTGAACCCGTGTATCATGCTCATGCTCTCGCCACTGTCTTCAAAATCCCGAGTCGTTGAATTTTCCTCCACTTCCTGCATTTTCGAAGGGAGAAAAAAAAGCTTCCGATCATGGCAGCTGAAATGGTGGGTGGGGCTTTTCTCAGTGCTTTTCTGCAGACTTTGTTTGACAGGATGGCTTCTCGTGAGATGGTAGACTTCATCAAGGGAATAAAACAGAGGAATGGCCCTAATCTTCCACTGGACAAGTTGAAGATAACAATGCGATCCGTCAATGCGCTGGTCAATCATGCAGAAGAGATGCAGGCCGCAGATTTTCATGTTCGAGAATGGGTGAATGATCTTAAAGATTCCATGTTTGAGGCCGACGACATTTTGGATAAGATCACTACAACTGCAATAGCTTCAAATCCGGAAATGGAAGCTGAATTAGGGAGTAGAACCACAAATATGGTGAGTTGCTTTTCCCCTGTTCTCCTTTCTGAGTTTAGAGATGGGATACATACAATTATTGAACAGTTGGAAAATTTAGTGAAACAAAAGGAAGTTCTGGGCTTGAGGGGACTTGTCAGTGGTATTCCTACAAATAAATTTCAAACAACTTCTTTAGCAGGAAAGTCGGGTATTTATGGAAGAGATTATGATAAAGAATCTATAAATAAACTGTTGCTATCGGATTCTGCTTCTGATAAGATATGTGTCATCCCCATAGTTGGGATGGGTGGGGTTGGGAAGACCACCCTTGCTCAAGTTGTTTACAATGAAGACGTGGTAAAGGAGCATTTTGACCTGAAAGTATGGGTTTGTGTTAACCAAGAATTCGATGTCTCTAAATTAACAAGGACTATTCTAGAGGCAATCCCTTTAACATGTGATGGATTGGATCTCAACCAGCAACAAATTAAACTTAAGGAGTTCCTTGACAATAAGAGATTTCTCATTGTTCTAGATGATGTCTGGAACGAGAATTACATTGTTTGGGAAATCTTACGACGTCCTTTTGAATATGGGGCACGAGGAAGTAAGATCATAGTCACAACACGGAGTGAGATTGTCGCATCAACCATGCTCACGGTTCCCTTTTATCATTTAAAACCATTGTCAGATGATGATTGTTGGTTATTATTTGCAGAGCATGCATTTGAAGGGATTGCGTTGGATAAATATGCTAAGTTGACAGATATAGGGAGAAGTATAGTGAAAAAATGTAGCGGACTGCCATTGGCTGCCAAAGCTCTTGGAGGTCTCTTGCACTCAAAAAGAGATGAAAGTGAATGGGAGAAGGTATTGAAAAGCGATTTATGGGATTTTCCAGATGGTAGGAGCAATGTTCTTCCTGCTCTTATGTTAAGCTATCACTATCTTCCCTCACATCTTAAGCGATGTTTCGCCTATTGTTCTGTGTTTCCAAAGAAGTATCAATTTAAACGGAAGGAACTAGTGCGCCTATGGATGGCGGAAGATCTTCTGCTTCTGCAACATTCCGAAAGAAATAGAACCATGGAAGAAGTAGGTGAAGAATATTTCAATGACCTGACATCTAGGTCATTCTTTCAGCAATCAGGCAGAAAGTGCTTCTTTATTCATGATCTAATGGGTGACGTGGCTGAATTTGTCTCTGGAGAATTCACCTTCAGATTAGAGGGTGTAAAGACACATGTCATGTCAAAAAGAACTCGTCACTTGTCATATTCCAAGTTGAAATTTGATGATTTAGAGAATATTATGGCCGTATGTGAAAATCTTAGAACCTTTCTCCCATCACAAGGGATATCATGGTCTAAATGCTTAAATAATGAGGCTGTTAGTGGCTTACTTTCAAAACTAACCAGGTTAAGGGAGCTTTCCCTCTCTAACTGCCACAATTTGACAGTTATCCCTGATTCAATTGGTAATTTGATACATTTAAGATATTTAGACCTCTCTTCGACACCAATCTCCAGGTTACCAGACCCCACATGCTCTTTGTACAATTTGCAGACTTTGTTGTTGACAAATTGTACATACCTTACTGAATTGCCTTTCAATCTGGGAAGCCTAACTAAGCTCAGGTGTTTAGATATAAGTGGAACAAAATTAAGTCGGATGCCACCACATATGGGTAGATTGAAAAATCTTCAGATGCTGGCAGTTTTTGTTCTGGGAAATAGATGTGGATCGAGCATCAAAGAGCTGAAGGAACTTCAATTTCTTCAGGAAAAGCTCACCATTTCAAATCTGCAATATGTCGCTAGTCCTGAAGATGCTATCATTGCTAATATGAATGGTAAAGAGAAGCTTAATGAATTGGTGTTGAAATGGAGTGGGACCGCGGATAATTCAGAAGAAGTTAGAAGCGTACTTCATCACTTGAAACCTCCTAAAGCATTGACAAAACTTACCATTAAAGGTTATGGGAGCACATCATTCCCAGACTGGTTTGGAGGATGTCATTTTTTTAATTTAGCATCTTTATGTCTTGATAGCTGTGAAAATTGTGTTCTCTTGCCACCACTTGGGCAACTTCCTTCCCTACAAGCTCTCTCATTAACACGGCTTTCACTTGTAGTTTCTATTAGTGATTCTTTTTATTACATTCCTTCCGACCAAGTGGAGCCATCTCACAGAAATGCAGTTGGACCATTTAGGTCCCTTCAAACTTTGCGCTTTGAGAACATGCCCCAGTGGCAAGAATGGCTTCCGTTCACAGTGATGGATGAAAATGCAGTCGAAGCATTTCCTTGTCTTCAACAGCTTTATATAAAGAATTGCCCAAAACTTAAGGGCTTGCCGGAAAAGCTCCCTTTACTAGACAAACTGGTGATTTCCAAGTCTGAGCAACTCGTCGCTATAGTTCCCCCAACAATCCGGGAATTGCAGTTGAAAGACTGTAAAAAGATATCAATGAAGGAACTGCCACCTCGTTTGTTGAATTTGTCAATTGGTGGATATGATGCTTTTGAGTTTCCTGTCGGGGGTGTTGATGACAGGAATTGTTCCATTAAAAATTTAAGCATCATGAGCTGCCGTGTCATTTGTCAGCTTCCCGTAATTGGCTTTGCTAACACATTGAAGTCACTTAATGTTACAGACTGTGGGACGATTGAGCTTCCCATGAACCAATGTTTTGCAACTCTCGAGAGTTTACGCATAAGATCTAGCTTTGGTTCTCTGAAGTCCTTCATTTTAAGTTTCTTTCCAAAGCTGAGCTATCTTGACCTTGAAGGATGTCAGAATCTACAGTCGCTTTCAACTTCAGGGGATCACTTGCAGCATTCTCCATCTCTGATTCTCAACTCCATAAAAATCAGTAATTGTCCTAATTTTGTGTCTTTCCCAGAAGGTGGACTCTCAGCTCCAAACCTGACTTATTTCCTTGTGTATAACTGCAAAAGTTTAAAGTCATTGCCCCACCAGATGAACAGCCTGCTTCCTTCTCTGGTGACTTTGAATATATGCCTGTGTCCAGAGCTTGAGTCGTTTCCAACAGGAGGACTGCCAAAAAGTTTACATTCATTAGAGATCAATCGCTGTGATAAGCTCTTTGCTAAAAGAAAGAACTGGGATTTGCAAGGACTCCCTTCTCTCCGAAGCTTTGGTATCAAAGGTGTGTGCAAAGATGGGGAATCCTTCCCAGAAGAACGGTTGCTTCCATCTTCTCTTACCTCCCTTTATATACGTAAACTCCAGAATTTTAAGAGTATGAATGGAGGTGGCATCCAGAAATTGACCTCTCTAGAGACTTTGGGGATTGGAGACTGTTCAGAACTTCAGTGCATGCCAGAAAAACTCCCTGCCTCACTTTCTGCCCTTCATATCTGGAATTGTCCATTGCTTGGACAAAGATGCAATGGGAAAAAATCCGAAGATTGGCCAAAAATTGCTCATATTCCCCGCATACGGATCAACAGAAGATCGGTCGGATATGACTAAACTTTATACTGGAGAAATGTTTCTATCCCTGTTCTGATATTGGCACGGGATTCTCTCCATGCTGAGCTACAAAGTTGGAATGCATGGTTAGTTTCAAAATAGAAAACTGCTCGCTGCTATTCACTGGGGCTGACATTCAAATCCATATTTAAGCCCCTTAAATCTATTTAACATTCTTAATGGTATGTTTGATTTGATAACTGGTGGAAATGACCTTTTTCCAGTTTAATTCACTGATTTCGGTTTCACGTTGGAGGTTTTGTTCTGTTGACTAAGAATTCTGTTTTAGTTATGCATATATGGAATAACATTTCTTTCCTTTTGAATATTCATTTCCTTACGTGATATTTTGACGACCTAGTGTCAACACTACATGAGAAAGAACTTTTGTACGGGCTTGGTAAGTTGGTCTAGTAAAAATTGGTAGATTAAGCTAAATAATAATTAGCTATGTATATATGCTAGAAGTGGAATTAAAAAAAAAAACGAAGAAAAGAAAAAAAAAGGAGAGAAATAAAATAATGTGTGTTTAACTGCTCATTACTAGCTTAATCTACCAAATCTCACGGACTAAAAGTCTGTATGATGTATATAAACCTTCCTTTAATTTCTTACTGACTTGATGTCAAAGGATTGGTGTGTAGGTTGTGAATATTTCATGAATTCCCTATAAGGAATTATGTTTATAGCTACCACACACTTGTTTCTTTTGGGCCTTCTTCTATTGCACTACGTATTCAAATAAAATTTTGATGGGACCAGAGTTGTCTCTAGATTTATGGATGCTGGCCTCCCGAGGTGAGCACACGGGAAACCTACTTTGTGTTCACCTAAGGAGTCTAGGCGTTTAAAGTCAGTAAACAATCTGTATCAGTTTTTACTCTGTTTTGTGCATTGCAACTAGGCTGCCCTACTCACTCAGGATCCTTTTGGAATCTGCAGTGCTTAATCGCGATGACTCAGAAGTCTCCAAGGATGATAGTGAAAGGATTATTGTTGATTGGGGAAATGAATCACTCAAGCAAGTTTTAATTCCATTTCAAGCTCCTCCCCATCTCATTGCAGCTTCAGAATGTTGAAGAAATTTTTTTGAAGACAAATTGGTCTTAATAAAGGGAAATAAATTATCATTTTTTGTATTGGTATATACTGATATCGATGAATCCGCTGATTGCCAATGTATTGATAATGAGAATGGTTATTCATTTTGTGTAATTGATGTTTTTCCCAACGGATAATTAAAAAAGAATGCTGAGTTATAGTAAAGCCTGACCAAAAAGATAGAACAGCATTGTATTAGTATCTTTCTCTTATGCTTTCCATCAATATATAGGTTATGCGTAGTTGAAATGTGATTCCATTTGAATTGATGATGGGGATATTGGAATTATATTAATAAATCAGAGTTGCTGAAAAGGGAAAAAAAATAAAAAATAAAAAGAAAGAAAGAAAGAACCCTCTGATTTATACAACGAAGTGAGAAAAGCAGAGGAAGTTTTTTTCTATCAATTGCCATCATCAAAAGCTTGAGTTTGTTTGTCGGAGGCACAAGCAAGCATGCTGGGAAAGGCTTTTTGAGCGTGCTGGCTTCTTCTATCATTTCAGTTCTGTGATCAACGCCCCCGGCCATATAACAATGTGATGGATGGATTGTGCTTTACTCCACAATCCAAACAGAAAACGTGCCAATTCTAAGTAGAAAATGGATTTCCTATGCAATGCTCCTTATCAAATTCATCCCTCGCTCAGCTTTCATGGATAAAAAACCTACGATAGGATTCAACATGATTTGAGTTTAACTTATGTTTGTTTGCCAAATCAACATAATCACTTAAAACTCTTTTATGTTTTACAAAATAAAATTCATTTCACATGCTAAATAATACTTTTATAGTCCTATTAATAAGACAGAGAGAAATAATTTTTTTATTTTATTTATAAATCACTTTATTATATTTTTAGTATAAATATACTATTTCGTCTTGTATTTATTATAGTATAAATAGTTATTTTTTTTAAAATGTATATATATTAAATAGAAGTAAAGTTAAAAATTTGTTATATTTTAATGAAGAGTTAATTCAGTTTAAAGGTTTTTTTTTATGTGAAACAAGTTGAAAGTGCCTATTATATGTCTCATGTTTTATCCAAAAGCTTGTGTGGAAGATGAAAGTGGGAAAAATACGGGTTAGATGTTGAAAATAAATAAGAAAAAGAGGTCAAAGAAGCTTGGTTTGCAAGGGAAGCAAGCTCTTTGGCCAAAATAAAATTAGAGGGGGGAAAAAATAAAGGGAAAGCAAACATACTTTACAAAAGCTGCCCAATCACACCACATGCTTGATCATACTATGATTGCCACCATCTTGTATTACTTGAATCCGAGGCAACAATAAGCACCGTTTAATCAATTAAACCCCATTTTGGTTGCTCTTGGCCTTCTTTCGAACACAAACGTTTCTTTCTCTTTATTGAAGCATTTCATTTCTTAAAGTACAATCAGGTGTCATCTAGATAGTAAATAAGTTCACATCTCCTATCTATAAATATTAAATAAGAGCCATGCACATCAATAACCATATTCCGAATTTAGAAAAAGAAGAAATGGCTTTCCCTCTCAACCTCCACATCATTCTCTTTCTATTGTCTTCTACTTCCATCTCCATTACCAATGGAGCTTTCTCAGAACAAAACCCTATAACCTTACCCACAAAACGCATGGAAAAAACCACTCACCTTCACTTCTTCTTCCATGACACTCTCGATGGCAAAAACCCCAGTGCTGTCAGAATCATCAACCCAGAAAAGGGCAATTTCGGAACTACATTTATGACCGATGATCCTTTAACAGAAGGACCAGAACCAAGCTCGAAGCTTGTGGGAAGAGCTCAGGGAATGTATGCTTGGGCGTCTCAACACGACGTCGTGTTGCTGATGGTGATGAACTATGCGTTCATAGAGGGGATTTACAGAGGAAGCTCACTGAGTGTTCTGGGAAGGAACCCTCCACTGAAAGATGTTAGAGAGATGCCAATTGTTGGAGGAAGTGGGGTGTTTCGATTTGCCAGAGGTTTTGCTTTGGCTCATACTCGTTGGTTTGATCCTAAATCTGGAAATGCTATTGTGGAATACAATGTTACTGTCATTCATTTCTAGGCCCTTTTTGTTTGGTTTTATCTTATTGTTTTAGCAGTTTTTGAATATTATTGTTTTTAGCTTTTTGGTCATCCTTTGTCTAGGGGAATAGAAGGAATTCATGCACCTATTTATTGAAAGTTAAACATATAACCTCATACTTAAGTACGACTTAAGTCTTAAGAGATGTCTAGTATCAGTTAGACCAAATAGTTCTAACCATATCTGTTGATATATTAATATTGTATTTGTTTGAGCAAAGAAAAGCAAGTTGCTAATGCTATCTTTAATTCGGTTGTGATTTTAGCCAAGTGCTGATTTCTCACTATCTTATTACTGTCATCTAACAAAGTAATGCTTCAGTTTCTAACGTGTGGTGTGTATCACTCTCTTTATGTAGGTATGAATGTATCTATACAAATCTAATTAATTTCAACATATGGGCTTTGCACATGGGCTTGTATTAATTTGTATTAATCAACAAAATATAAAAGTTCATTAAGCATGTCTTGCCAACAAGGCACAAAACTGGAATTAACTTGCACACACTTATACTTTAGTGAAATTTAAAGAAATCCTAAAATTTGTCATTTCCATCAAAAGTTGACTTAATACTCCTCCGGTCCTAATTATAAGACCCAATTGATTTATTTGAGGAGATTAAGGAAGTAAGTTAAGTTGGTTATTTATAATAAATAAGTGTTGTCATTTCTAAAATATCCTTGCTAATTAAATATATTAACTAAAACTATCATTATTAGAAGGATTATCTTGAAAAAAAATGCATAAATATAAGAGACAAAATGGATTGGGTCTTATAATTAGGACCAAATAAAAAGTCAAATTGGGTCTTATAATAAGGACCGGAGGAGTATTATTTCCCATATATGGTCCAATGTGAACACATACTTCCTCTCAATGGCTTCCTGTAGTAGTCAATTTTGTGGACCCACACTGCCCCTAAATGACTCCATGTAGTTAACTATGGTCCTCCATGGCCGGCTGCATCATTTTGAGATTTAGATTCTCTTCAAGTAAAAGAGCCTTGGCTTGTATAAAAACTAAAAACACTTGCAAGAGAAGCTTGTGGCCACATCAATTGAGGAGAGAGATGCACAGAATAGTAATATGGGCTAGCATGGGCTGGCTAGCTTGTGCGGGTGTGTTCATAGCCTTTCCTGTGGCTGTATAATTTTAAAAACACTTAGATGAGCCTCGTCTGGTCCAATTTCATCAAGCGTAGGTACCTCACATTAGGAGGCAACTTACTCAGTCCTAAGAGATAAAGACTAATAAAATAGTGAAATAACATTAACTGCATGCAGTTTCAGAGCTCGCTGCAATAATAAGTATCATGATACCCATCAAACCTCTGCCATTTAAATTTAATATTGACAGTTGAGATTTAATATTTACTACTTTTGTTTTCAAATAATGTTTTCCTTTTAAAAAGTATATAATCCAAAATAAATATAATATGTTAACTGTAAGTTTTTTAAAAAATAAATTTTTTACTTAAAAATCATTGGTTTGAAAATTTTAAATCTAGACCATTAAAACTGATTTTGAATAGTTTAGATTTCATCATAGCGATGAGCATTATAGTGCTTAGAACTACCATAAGTATTGAAACTGGTTCCACAGCACTCCAATGTTATTTTTCTAGTGTTTTCAACTCCATAATATCATTTAGAGTGCATCTAGTATCCAAATTATAAATAAAATTAGAGTGTTAGATATAATTGGAAACAACATTAGGGATATTGGTTGTATTAGGAAAATAACATTAGGATGCTAGATGCACCACAGATAAGATTACCTAAAAAATAATATCCATAAAATAACATTAGAGTGGTAGATGTTATTTTACTCATGATAAAATTAGCAGGAAATATAAGTAAGTTGTAGTACATACCAACATCTCTCTCTCTTCCCCCCCCGGGGGGCGAATCGTTGAAGCATTTAGAACTTCCATGCCACTATGGAGTAGAGTGGTCGATCATTCCAACAAACAAACAGACATTGATCATGCTCCATGAGCTTATATCCTCTTCCGTAGTTTTGCAATGGCCTTGTTGCTCGCAACATCCTAGCACAACACAAAGGTTTTCTCTGAAACCCAGCTAGTTCAAACCAACGAACCCATGTCTCAGCTTTCTCATGCCTTTCTTTTCTTTGAACTCCTTCACAAGCAATTATGTTCTTGATTTCTTCACCCAGAAGCATCTTTTCCATTACTGTTCTATCTGCTTCTCTTGCTTTGGGAACATTGGCCTCTAAGGAGTCAAAGAGGGCACCATAGAAGACTAAAGCATTCTCAAGCCTTGTCTTTAGGGCAAGCTCGTTTGTGTTTGATTCTTGCTCTGTGATAACCATCAACCTGGGTTTGAGGTTCCAGATTGCACTTAGAAAATACTCCATTTTAGGGGAAGGACATGGAGATAGAGATGAATCAGGACTAGGTCTGATCTTTAGTTTCTCAAATAACTCTGCAAGAATATTCAATCATCATTTGCCCTAATATATATCGATTAAGTGGGTAGCTTAAGAACATCCACGGTTCATCAAAAGGCCAAGAACAAGTAAGGACAACGAATCTAATGAATTTAGGAAATTTAAATTTAAAATTTTATGCTTTTTTTTTTTTTAAAGACTGAAGTCATTAACAATATTTTCAGGACTTATACTACTATGTTTTAATGAAGTTTTACAATTATAATTTTATATTAACCTCCCTAAAATTCAGTAGCAAATTTTTTCAAGGTTCTTTAAGATTTAATAGTGGTATCAATTTTTGAAGGGGAAATTGGTTTGCAAGTTCATATAGTTTAATCTTATTTTTAATTAGATTCCTATAATTTTTCTTTTTATCATGATTTGTAGTTTTACCTCTTTTTAATCAGATTCCTAGCCCCCCCCCCAATGAAGTTCTTATAGCTTCATTAACTCTTTTTATGAAGTTCTTATAGCTTCATCTAACTTTTAATGAAGTCTCTATAACTTTTTTTTTTTCACTAGTCACTAAATCTATATCAACCTAATTAAAAATAAGGTGAAACTAAACTTGATAAAAAATTAAAAAAAATTATGAGGACCTGATTTAAGATAAAATGAAATTATAGGGATGACAGATGAATTTTCTCATTTTTGAATACACAGCGTTTGATTTTGTTGTGCTGCCTCCGGTCGTTTAATTTTTATTTTGATATTAAATATAAAACCTTAATTTATTGTCTCTTATATTTATTATTTTAAAAAAAATAATTCTTATAATAATGATAATTCTAGCTAATACACTTGATTAGTAAAGATATTTTTAAAAAAAATAATACTAATTTATTATAAATAACTAATTTAACTAGTTTTCTTAATCTACTTAAATTAGTCAACTAACTCTTATATTAACCACATGTATTTATTTATTAAATTAAACATGCAGCCACCGTGAGTTTCTTTGTATCGACATCCGCCATGAATAATAGCCGTATGTACCTGCAGGAGAATTAACCCCACTTGTGACAGTTTGATCTTTTGCTGACAGGAGGGAATGAAGCCCAAGAACAGAAACGATCGCAATAGGCTCATCTGGGTTCAAAGGCAACTTATCAAACTTCAGATTCTCCAATTTGCCCTCGAATGGATAGAAAGAGAAACGGAAGTTCAATTTCTTTGCTTCTCCCATCAATACAAACCCCGTCTTTTCCAGGACCTCCTTCTTCTCATGAATCCCCGTGATTTTCAGAAATGGAAGCGGCCGATTATCCGCTTCATACAGATCCTTCAATGTATGAAGAAGATGGATCCACTGTTCGGGATCCGAAGCGTTGAAATCGATAACGTGAATCACCGATTCGCCTCTCATGGCTTCAGCAATGGCGTGATTTGAGATCCAGTATGAGAACATCAAGAAGGGACACAACTCTCGGAAGAGCCTCCGGACAAGCACTAGCTCCGACGCCGACAGGCGATTCGGCAGACGGAGTGATTCCGAAATACCGGGCATGTACTTGTTGAGTAGCCGATGAGCGAGGCCTTCGTTGGCGTAAGTGGCTACGCGCTGAAGGGCGTCGCCGTCGGGGGCGGCGAGAGTGGCGATTTTCTGGAGGGTGTTTACGGCGTTTATGATATCGCCGGTTTCGGTAAGTTTAACACAGTAGGGAAGAAGACGGGCAATTAAAATGCCTTTCGCTTCCCATCCCATTTCTGGGGGCCACTGGTATGGTGAGCTTGAGCTTGAGCTTGAGCTTGAACTTGAGCTGGGAGCTAATCATCAATAATCAAACAACAAAGATGAACATGGAAATTAGGAGTCAGAATAATCTTTCGATTTTGCCTAAATTTGGCGCTAATCTGATTGGAAAGATTTTTCATGTTCTATTTTATAATTATACTAAAAATTATAAATAATTAGTACATTGTTTTATTATGTTCAAACAGAAAATATGTGTGTGTAGTTTTATTAATTAATATCGCTAGCACTCAAATAAATGGGGGAGAGAATTACAAATAGAGAGAAAAACACAAGTACATATACCTGGATCCATTATGGAGAATAATACAGTAGAGAGACTTGAAATTTTTGGATTTCAGGGGAGGAAAAAATTGATTAAAGGGGTTTTGGTTTTATAGAACTTGGGGTGCATGAATCTTGCTTTCATTTGAAGACAAAAGACAAGTTTGATATCATCGACATTTATATACCCACACACACTTTTTTTGTTTTTAATATAGGACCTAATTATTGAGTTGGTTTTGATTGTAAATATAAGACCCATTTCTCATGTTTATCAATTTTTTTTAAATTACCCCTATAGATACTCCCTCAACCATAATCAAGTACAAGAGGAAGAGACCGTATTAAAAAAGATGATTATGGTGTTTTAGGAAAAATGTCACATTTCTTATGATTAACTAACTTGTCTAATTTTCTTAATCTAATCAAATTAGTTAAATAGGTTTTAAAAGCCGGAAGAGTATATGTATATTTTGGTAGACCATCGACGTTTATTTTGTTTTATGGTTCGATGGAGGAAACAAAAATCATTAGGATAATGAGACAAGATTTTATTTTTTTTTGTCTTTTTTATGTAGTAGTATATGAATATTGAGACAGAAATCTCTCTCTCATTTCTCGTAGTCTATGGAAGGTGACAGCCGGAGACAAACAACGTCTTTCCAAATAAAATCTAAATCTATATGCACACAAACTTTCCTCCGAGAGTCTTTGGACGTTCCCAGGTCTAATTTCAAGAATCCTATGTCAGAATATGTTATTGATCGTAGGATTCTTTTCCGATGATGTTTTTTTTTTTTTTTTTTTGTCATATAAGTGAGTATCCTCAATTCATTTTAGACTTGACACTAATCTCTGTCAAATCAAGAGCATTAAGATTAAAACTCTTTCAATAAGTATGTTTCTAGGGATTTAGACATGCATTCTTCTCCTTGCATTTATCTTTCCAAATTTTCAAGGAGGTCTTATTAATAAAAATAATGATTAAATAAAGTAATTTAAAAAAATTAATATACATATGTTATAAATAACTAACTTAACTAAATTTACTTAGTATTTATAAATTAATTATCTGACCTATATTTAGTAATGGACAGTCGTCATAGTATGGAGGCAAGTAGCCCATAGACTACTTTAGTTTAGATCAACACATTATTAGGTTCCTTAAATTCTCTTCTTTTTTTAATAATCATTTGATATAAAGCAATAACTTATTTATAATTTTTTTCAGCCCGGTTTATTTCTTTCATGGGCACATAAAATCCAAATTTGAGATTTTACATAAATGGATATCAAAGCACTTCCTACGCTGAGAGAATTATTTTTATATATGTAGAATGAATCCAATAATAATAAAATCTATACTAGTCTATGATAATGAATATCAAATAATTAAAAAAAAACTTAGATTGCTATTTTTTTTAGGTTCAAAAGATTATATGTAAGCAGAAACTAAATTAAAAAATGGGCTTGCACACCATTATTAATATGAAGTTAAAAAAGAAAAAAAAAACTTTTCTTGCTTTGATTTTCGATCGGGTTCAAAATATTATGAGGAAGAAACTAAGACAACGGATTTGCACGCCATTATTCATACGATGTTCTTTTTTTTGGGGGGGGGGGGGGGACTTTGCTTGCTTTTCCTTTGAGTTCAAAAGATTATATGTAGGTTGTACCAAAAACAGAAGATTATGTGTAGGTAGAAACTAAATTAGAAAATGGGTTTGCACTCCACTATTGATATCTACAAATGATCATAACTTTGGCTGCTTATATGTTAGTTCGAAAAATTATGCTCTCTCCTATCCTCGTAAAAAGGCAAAGTCCTATTGAAAATTAAAAGCATGCCACCACTTACAATGCTATTTTTTGGGTCCAAAATAAAAATTTAAATATTGATTACATTTTACATAATTAGAGAGGATGTAGGCATGGTATTCTAACAATCCAATTATTCAATCAATTTTACTTCGCTTTTTATATTCTGTTGTAATTGGCTTTCTTCTCAGAGAGGTTTCTTGTTATGCTGATCATAACAAGGTGATTTTGTTAGAGTTTGCTAGGGTCATTTTGTAGCTTTGTGTGCAGGCATGCAAACTTTCATAGAATAAATCACTGATTAGCTTGCTTAATCAAGGAGGAAAAACCTATATAGTGCTTAGTTAATTCAGCCCAAACTATGATGCGATTAGGAGGAAGGTTAAAACAAAAGCATGATGCATTACCCTACCCAAGGAGAATTACTCTATGCAAACATGGATTGCACACATTGAAGATTGTGGTGACCTAAGAAAATTGAACAAGGCCAATGGACAAAACTGTTTTATCAGTAATTCATAGCAGTTTCTTCTTCTTAAATCTTTCTTGGAATAGTCATTTTTTTATTTGAAAAAAACTAAAGTATGAGAGGGAATTTTGTCTGAAAATTGAAGCCAGATCCAAACTTAATGCAACGCTAGAAGTTACAATAGAGACATAACTGATGAGGCCCTAGTGTGATGAGTTTCTTTGTTTATGAGCATAGAAGTGGATTTCATAATAACCCAGATCACGATAGGTCCAAATTCACTAGTAGAAAACTAGCCTCCAAAATGCAGGATAATTAGAGGAAAATGTATTTTTAAAAGATATCACACTCTGAAAACACTAAAATGAATTTCTGTGAAGTGTGAAGTGCTAATTCGTTTTAGAAATGCAAACAAGATAGTGAGAGTAGAACCAGCACACATCAAATTTACGGTGATTCAGATGAAAGAGATTCTACATCCTCCATCTAAACAAGCGAATTTTATGTAGTGAAATTACAAAACTATGAAAGAAATTACAAAACAACAGAGTGTAAGCTTTTCTCTCAAGTCTGATCCATATTTGGATTTGATAAGGTCATGACAGTAAACTATGAACTATTTCTTTCTGCTTCTTTACTATTTAACTGCGTTGAATTGTCAATTGATGATAAAAATCACAGCTCCAATACCATAGTACAAAGCTTAAAAGAATCAATTGAAGGAGAAGAGCTGCAATAATATAGTCAAAGTACTTCTGACTTTATTTCTCTGTCATACAAGCTTGCACATACACATAGTTCATTGAAGGTGTTATTACAGTTCCACTTTTTACAAGCCCACCTTGAAATTTTGCCTTAGAACGTCCAGGCTGATATAGAAAAGAGTGGGAGATCATTCCAGCATGTAAACAAGCATTGATTGAAGTCTAGCAACTTGTATCCACTCCCATAGCTCTGCAATGGCCTCGTTACCTGCAACATTTTCTCATAGTCCATAGGAACCCTCATGAACCCCGCCAGTTCAAGCGACGGACTCCATGTCTTAAAAAACTTGCCATGCCTCTCTTTTCTATCAACTCCATCACAAGCAATCATGTTCTTTAACTCCTCCCCGAGAATCATCCTTTCTAGCATGATTCTCTCTGCTGCTTTTGCTTTTGAAACATTAGCTTCCAAGCAATCAAACAGTGCAGCATAGAAATTCAGTGCTTTATCAAGCCTGTCTGTCAGAGAAGGTCCATTGTTATCTGATTCTTGTTCTGTAATGACCATCAACCTCGGTCGGAGTTTCCAAAGGCCACTTAGAAACCACCTCATCTTTGGCGAAACACATTGGGAAGGACTAGGTGGCAAGACTGAATCAGGACTGATTTGATCATCAACTGCCAGAAGAGAATGAAGATGAAGAACAGAACTTATAGCAAGAGGCTCTCCTGGCTTCAAAGGCAGTTTCTCAAAGCAAAGTTTCTCCAGTTGGCTGACAATGGGATAGAAGTGGATGGGGATGTTCAGTCTCTCAGCTTCTTGAATCAATTGAAACCCTATTTGTTCTAAAACCTCTTTATTCTCATGAATCCCAGTAATCTTCACAAAAGGTAGTTGGTCTCCTTGGCTCTGTTCTTTCAAAGCATGAAGAAGATATATCCATTGAGTAGCATCACAGGCATTAAGATCAATAATATGAAACACTTGTTCTCTTTTCATGGTTTCAAGAATAGCCTGATTGGTGATGAGATAAGAAAACTTCAAGAATGGGCAAAATTCAAAGAACAGCTTTCTTGCATACTGTTGCACAGAGGTTGGCAAGGGATTTGACAGATGCAGGGCTTCAGGCACACCGCGAATATTCTTGACCAACCTGTAAGCCAGCCCCTTATTTAAGTATGTTGCTACCCTCTGCATCGAATCACCATTAGGGGAAGCAACACTAGCAATGTTCTCGAGCGCTGTACTTGCGTTGTGAAAGTCACGATTTTCAGTATACTTGGCACAGGTTGCAAGGAGACGAGGGAGGTATAAGCCCCTGCATTCCACTTTCATGTCTCCCAAGTACTCCTTAGGTGAATCTATTTAATCAGAGAAACTTGGAAGTATTATTCAGTAATTTCTGAGTTGTTTGGTGTGAGAAGTATCCACAGACTCTGAAGTTTGTCATACTTTGACTAGATCAAATGAGTATGATGCATGAAGGACTTAGCACGAGATTATTTTTTTATTTTAGAAGTTATACACTTTGATGCATGTAAATAACAATTGACTTCTCCTGATCGTATGTGCTTGAATTGACATTATCACAAATGGGATCTGTTCATGGGGCATAGGTATCTGGAAAATAGACACAATATCAAGAAAGAAATAAAATTCTATGCCAACATCTCAAAATTGAAAATTCTATTCCAAACCTAAAACCAATCAGTGTTATCTCGTTTTCATAAACCATCTCATTTTGAAACTTAAAAGGAATCACAAATCCAAGAGCACATACCTGCATCCATCAATACACCAGAGATTCAAATTGTTGGATCTCCAAAGAGAGAACAAAAAGCTGGAGTGAAGGGCTTTTAGGTTTGATGAGAAAGTGAGGGAATAGAAATTGTAAATTGACATGGGTATTTCTAGTGATGAACGGCTCTATGTTTTCTCATTTAATTGTTTGGATTTATCTAAAAGGTTCTCTCACTGGTTTTGCTTTTGTTTCTTTTTCTTTTTTTCTTTTTTTTAAAGACGAATGTCACAAAGTTATTTTTTATTATGTAGGGAAAATGAAACGGATATGGACAAACTCTCTTTTGTCTTTGACTAAGCCATACGGAGGAAGAAACAAAGAAAGTAAGGGCTTGTTTGTTTTTGTTCTTTGTTTTCTTGTTCTCAAAACAATTTTATAAAAAAAATTTTCTAGAACAAGTTTTGAAAACAAAAAAAACAAAAGAATTTGTTTAGATAATAATTTAAAAAAAACATGTTTGAAAGAAAAAACCCATAGAAAACCACACTTGGTATGTGATAGTTGTCGTTGGTAACAATAAGTGGTGGATAGTAGATGATAAGAGAAGAGGATTTCTCAAAATTTTTCAAAACAAAAAATAAAAAACAAAAAACAAAAATAGAAAAACATGTAAAAGTTGTTTTGGTTTTTTGGTTTTTAAAAACATGTTACTACCTCCAGTCCTTAATATAAGACTTTGTTTGACTTTTATTTTGGTCCTAAATATAAGACCCCAATCTACTTTGTCTTTCATATTTATGTTTTTTTTTTCCAAAATAGTCCTTCTAATAATAGTAGCTCTAGCCAATACACTTGATTAGTAAGAATATTTTAAGAAAGACAACACATATTTATTACAAATAACTAACTTAACTTCTTTCCTTAATCTCCTCAAATTAGTCAATTAGCTCTTATAATTAAGACCGGAAGTAGTACTGTTTTTTGTTTTTTAAAACAATCAACTAAAAACAACTTACCAAACAAGTTTTTTTGTTTTTCTGTTTTTAGAAACAAAATTGTTTTCAAAACAAAAAACCAAACAAGTACTAAATCTTCTTGATTAATAGAATGCCCGAATGTGGACGGAAATCTTATGATGCCCTTTGAAGTCGAGAACTCTATATCATAAATTTATTCACCATAGATGTCCTTAAAGTTTTGGTAACCATTTTTGGATCAAATATGATCATTAAAGTAGTTGACTTGATGGACAAACTTATTTACCAATTTCCTATGTAGATATTCCCTACAGTAAATATAGTCTTCTATTATCATTAACAAGGTTCGGCATAGCTAACAGATAGCTGACTCGGAGAATGCCCTTGATATACTCACATTTTAAAAAAAAAAAAAACTCTTCTATTACTACCTCCGGTCCTAATTATAAGAGCCAGTTAACTAATTTGAGGAGATTAAGGAAGTAAGTTGAGTTAGTTATGTGTCCTAAATAAGTGTTGTCTTTCTTAAAATATCTTTGCTAATCAAGTGTATTGATTAGAACTATCATTATTAGAAGGGCTACTTTGGGAAAAAAATGTATAAATATGAGACAAAGTGGATTGGGGTCTTATATTTAGAACCAAAATAAAAGTCAAACAGGGTCTTATATTAAGGACCGGAGGTAGTATTATTTTACTTGCTTTGAGTTAAAGACCCAAGTAATGCACAATGCATGTATAGAAATTTTCATTGTAATTAACTATCTAGCTGAATTAAGAAGACAAAACAGTGTTTAACTAATTCCAGCCAAATTGCCATATAATCAGGAGGAAAAGGATAAGAACAAAAGCAAAATGCAATGTTTCGTAGTTTTGTTTATGACCATGAGACGCGTATTTTCATTGAATAAAATTTTAACTACCTACATTGAGAACAAACAATATGCTACTTCTAGTTTTAAATATAAGACCTAGTTGTGGAATTAGATTTAGTTTTAAATATAAGACCTTAATTCATTTTGCCTCCCACATTTATAATGTTTTCTCTAAAATATCCTTATTGATTGTGAGGAGTTTCCATTAATAAATAGTTCCAATGTACATAATTAAACAGGATAATTTAAGAAAGTCAACATACATTTGTTACAATTAACCAATTTAGTAAATTTTCTTAATCTTTTCAAATTAGTTATCCAACTTTTATATTAAGGACGAGAAGCAGTAGTACTTATGTAATTTGGCCAGATTTATACTGTAATCAGGACAAAAGCTCAAACCTCTCCTGAGCCTACATGGTCTAACTCTAGAGAGATTGAAACTAGTGAGATTCAAATAGAAGCACGTCCAACATGCTTATAGCATTGCCCTTTCCATTTGCTTGGAACCATTTTTGGTTGTTATATTCATGGGATTACTTTGATTCTATAAGCAGACGTGAGCCTTTTGCATTTATATAAAGCCAAAGATAAGCTGCATTGTTTATGTATGACTTGTGAATGGTGTAACTCTCTGTAACTTTTATAGATGTATTGATATATTGATGAGATTGGTGGTACGTGAATTAGGCTTCGAATTGAGATTTTACACTAGATCTAGATCCCCTCTGATATAAGAGGGCATCAATCAAGAGAGAGAAAGAAATATGGGTCAGATCTGTATCTCTTTATCTTCTTGTTTCTTATGTTGTTTTTTCTTTTCTCTCTATCTCTCCTTTATTGAAAGGGATCCAAAGAAATCATACAACATTTAAGGTGTGGCTAGCGTGGTAATCATTTTTCCATTTGATGTTAGTGTCATTCTGATTGTGGAATTAAAGTGGACAGGGGGCTAGTGTACATTTGATTGAGTCTCTGTTAATGGTGCAAGGCCACATGACCATATTTCCAGCACACTTGGTGCTGAGTCTTGTAAGACCATTTTTATTGTTTCCCACTTCTTCCTTTAGCCCTACCAGTAAATCGCCTCTGTTTAAATTGTTGGTATTACAAGTACCTACTCTATCAAAATAATTTTGATGGTTTTGATTTGGTACCTTGTCGTGATTGATTTGAATAAGATCCAGCTTAAGCAACAGGCGAAGTTAGAGTAGAGCCATAACTAAGACTTTTATTTTATTTACAATAAGATGCTCTGTTTGTATATATTTTAGGAACCTGAAGTATTTTTCTAGTAACACTCAGTATCTTAAACTAATTTTTAGTATATTTAGTATCCTAAACTATTTTTCCAGCAGCACCAAGTATCCTAAAGTAATTTTTGGTATAATTTTGTCTTTAAAGCATTTTTTATGCACAAGAAAATATTTTAGGATAGTGGGTGCCATTAGAAAAACACTTTAGGGTGTTGGATACACTAAAAATTAGGTTAGGATACTAAATGCAATTGAAAAAAAATACTTGGGGTCACTGGATACTAGTTAGATGCCTATTGTGCTGACCAAGTGTCATGGAGTTTTCCCTTAGAACTTCCAGGCTGATATAGAATAGAGTGGAAGATCATTCCAACATGTAAACAGGCATTGATTATTGGAGTCTGCCAGTAACTTGTATCCGCGCCCATAGCTCTGCAATGGCCTTGTTATCTGCAACATTCTTTCATAGTGAAATGGAACCCTCTTAAATCCAGCCAATTCAAGCCAGGGATGCCATGTCTTATAAAACTTGCCATGCCTCTCTTTTCTGTCAACTCCATCACAAGATATAATGTTCTTTATCTCCTCCCCAAGAAGCATCCTCTCCACCATGATTCTCTCTATTGCTCTTTCTTTTGGAACATTAGCTTCCAAGCAATCAAACAGTGCAGCATAGAAGTTCAGTGTTTTATCAAGCCTTTCTGTCAATGAAGGCGCATTATTATCTGATTCTTGTTCTGTAATGACCATTAACCTAGGTTTGAGTTTCCAAAGGTTATTCAGAAACCAACTCATCTTAGGCGAATCGAACTGTGAAGGATTGGGTGGCAAGACTGAATCAGGACTGATTTGATCATCAACTGCCAGAAGAGAATGTAGCTGAAGAACAGAACTTATAGCAAGGGGCTCTCCTGGTTTGACAGGCAAATTCTCAAAGCAAAGTTTCTCCAATTGGCTCTCAATGGGATAGAAGTTCAAGGGGATGCCCATTTTCTCAGCTTCTTGAATCAATTGAATCCCCGTTTGCTCCAAAACCCCTTTATTCTCATGAATCCCAGTAATCTTCACATAAGGTACTGCAATTCCTTGCCATTTTTCTTTCAAACCATAAAGAAGACATATCCATTGTGCAGCATCACAGGCATTAAGATCAATGATATGAACCACTTGATCTCCCCCCATGGCTTCAACAATAGCTTGATTTGTGATCATATGAGAGAACTTCAAGAATGGACAGAACTCAAAGAACAACTTCCTGGCATATTGCTGTAGTAACGTTGAAAAGGGAATTGACAGCAGACTTAGAGCTTCAGGCACACCATGAATATTCTTGACCAACCTGTAAGAAAGCCCGTCAAGAAAATAAGTAGCTAGCCTCTGCATCAGATCACCATCAGCTGCAGCAACAGTAGCAATGCACTCGAGTCTAGAACCTGCCTTCTTGAACTCACCATCTTCTGTATAGCTAGCACAAGTCTTCAGCAGATGAACTAAGCATAAGGCCCTGTCTTCCACTTTCATGTCTCTGAGGTTTTGCCTTGGCGAAACTATATACAAGGAGAGAGGCAGAGAGAAATGAATTAGGAAACAGGAAGAAACAAGGCATAAAAAGGAGACCAATTTGGTTACGTTGGGCGAGACAGCCTCTTGAAATTATAAATCACATTTTATCTGTGAGATTCCCACTCATAACAGTATTCAATAATGCAAAGTTTTACATATGATTATATTTGGGCTTGCCTCTTTTATATTATTTTTAGCTATGGGTCTCTGAGTTGTGTATACGATGATTGTATTTGAAGCTCTTTGGTTAAAGTTATTTAGTCAGGATTTACGACAAGCTTATATGTCTGAATGTTTGATGCGTATTTTGTACTACGCCTATACATAAAGTCTAAATGCAGCATTTTATGAAGTCAAAGTATATATGAGTCATTGAACTAACATTCAAATAATAATCTTAAGTATCATGTGATTATCAAATCTTCACCTCATCTACGGGAAATTTTATTCAATTATCAGTTTATCATACCGCTAGATAATGTATCGAAACTAGTTGGAGGATTCAAATTGGTTTTAAATATAAAATCTCAATAGATTTTAAAATTTATCATTTACTTAATTTATAGACTAATATATAATCTAATGTTATCTAAGAGTATTTTAAGGAGGTCATATCGCATATGTTATAATTAACTAATTTATCTAATTTTTTTAATCTACTCAAATTAAACGAATAGTTTTTATATCATAGATTGGGGTTTTGTAAAACATTACTTTGGATTCCAATTCCTGCGTATTGTATCCTAAAATTTTTAAAATTGACATACCTAATATTTCCTTATATCATATCTAATACATGTATCCATTTCGGTGCTACATGCTTATATAGAAGCTAGGAAAACGAAAGAAAAGGACCAAAAATAAATAAATAAAAACATTAGTGTAGATTTAATAACATACAAATAATATTTTGGCCAAAAAAAAAATATAACATACGAATAATAAGGAATCTATTCAAATTTTAAGCTGAAGTATATTATTTCCGATTCTAAATATAAGATCTATTTTAGTGCAAATTTCAGGAATATAATCATAGTGTCTCGTTCACATACGCGCGCACGTGCGCTGGGACATACCTGGGTCCATTATGAAGATAACACAAGAGGGTGAGAGGGCAGGGTCTCCAAACAGAGATTAAGAGTTGGTATTATATGGTTTTTGGGTTTCGGGGTAAAGTGATGGAGCATTACCCGAGACAGGTATTTATCGACAATTTGTTTGGATTTATCTGCATAAACAAACGGGAAGGAGAATATCTTGAAAAAATTAATGCCAGAACCACATGTAAGTATTATTGACATATGGGTCCTATGAAATGGTCTAATGACTCTAAATCTCAAGGGACATTTTTGGAATTAAGTTTCTTTGTGACATTTCCTTCATATATATATACACACTACATCTCGTACTTAATATAATAACTAGTCGGAGGTTTAATTTAGTCTTAAATATAATATTTCAATATATTTTGTCTATAATATTTATTAAATTTACCCTCAAGTAATCCTTATGATGATTAGTTGTGAAGTTTACATGAAAGAGTATTTCAATATACATCATTGATAGGGATATTTTAGAAAAGACAATATCTATTTATTATAATAATTAACTTAACTAACTTTCTTAATGTCTGTAAATTAGTTACTCCTCTGGTAATTAATGTAAGACTTAATTGAGGAGTTGACGTTGATCTTATATATAAGACCTATTTCACATCTTTATCAATTTTTTTTTCAAATTAACTCTATTGATATTCCCTAAACAATAATTAATTAACAAAGGGAGGAAGAAAATTAAGAAAAATACTTAAGATATTTAAGATAAAACATATCATATTAACTAATTTAAAATCAAACATGCTCTTAATTATATTAAGGTAGTGTTTGTGTGTGCTCTATACAAGACCAATAACTTTGTCCCTTGTTTCTCCCATTCACAGAGACTAACGTCCCTTGTTAACTCTTGAAGTAACTTAAGAGCCAGCCTTATTGTGATAAATGAGTGATGACGAGCTTGTCCTTAGCTCTGTTACGAAGAAGACACAGATGAAGCAAGAACCGAGGACATTGTTGTATACGAGCGTAGATACCGAAGAACTGTCCCAGAAGATTCACCCGGCCATAGGGAACAACATCACTATATTAATCCCAAAGTTGTGAATGAATATTGAAGCTTTTGAACAAGTTTTTTCAACTCCAGCTGGCCATATGACAGAACCATTAACTAATACTACCTCCGGTTCTAATTATAAGAGCTAGTTGACTAATTTGAGGAGATTAAGAAAGTAAGTTGAGTTAGTTATTTGTCCTAAATAGGTGTTGTCTTTCCTGAAATATCCTTATTAATCAAGTATATTGACTAAAACTACCATTGTTAGAAGGGCTACTTTGAAAAAAAGTGTATAAATATGAGAGACAAAGTGGATTAGGGTCTTATATTTAGGACCAAAATAAAAGTTAAACAGGGTCTTATATTAAAGACCGGAGGTAGTACTAACTTTGTTGTTGATCCCTTTAAATATGCCACTAATCAATACTGCCTCCGGTTCTCAATATAAGACCTTGTTTGACTTTTATTTTGTTTCTAAATATAAAACTTCAATCCACTTTTGTCTCTCATATTTATCCATTTTTTCCCAAGGTATAACAATGGTAGTTCTAGCCAATACACTTGATTAGTAAGGATATTTTAAGAAAGACACCACCTATTTATTATAAATAACTAACTTAATTTCTTTCCTTAATCTCTTTAAATTAGTCAACTAGCTTTTATTATTAGGACCAAAGGTAGTATATAGAATTTGCATTATAAAGTAAATCTTATATTTAAAACTAAAGGTGGTATTTTAGTTTTCAACTCTTACTTAGGAAGTGAATATAATTGGGAGAATTTTCCATTCATGCACTATATGTACTTTGAATAAGATTAGTTTTTCTGATGGATAAAAGATATTTCCTATAAGTTGAAAAAAAATTCTTTCTCTGTAATGAATCCTTAGACAATAAGAAGAATTCGATGATATAAATAAGCTTTACACAACTTGCAGCTCAATTAATTTTTTTTTTTAATTTTTACCCTATATGTCAAATCTAATCATTTTCCATAGGCAAGGATGATCCGGTATATCTAGATGTGGTATGAACCAACATTTAAATGAGGTTTGATTTGTATTTTTAATACTATCTCCAGTCCTAGGCCTTATTTATAAGATTATAAATAAGATCGTATAATTAGAATCAGAAGTAGTATTTGATAATTGAATTAATCTTTATTGAGACTTTTGTGGATGTTATAATAGCTCTTATTTTCCCATCATACTCAAATGATTCTACATGTATCAATAATATTAGGATGTTGGACTTGACATGATGTGAGAAGTCCCACATCCGACAGACTTCACAATAGATATATAATGGAGTGAAAAGATGCATAAACTTGGGTTTTTAAGATGTCCAAAGCTTCTCATTCTCCTTTCAAGGTACTCCATCTTTTGACTTTTGACTTCTGACTTATGCTCAATATGCATAGATGAACTTCCTATGCACTTATACGTTTGCACATTTTTTGCTTCATATTATTACTGGCCAAAACAAGAGTACATTTTATTAACCGGGAAAAAAAAAAAAAAGCAGACACACGCACCAAAACGAAAAGTAACCTAAGCATCAACCTACAATAAAAGCATTACTAGTTCTTGAAGTGAAGGGAGCCCATCCAATCAGAATCAGAAATTAAGAATTACGTTAAAGAACAGATTTCTGATCATCGGGGGCATATAGCGACTCTTCTGAAGGCCGTCCACAGAATCAAATCGCATCTCCATCTGCCATCTATTTGCTGACAACCAGTTGTCTCATTATTCAAAGCATACATCATATCTCTAGCTCAGAGCAACCCCATAAGGATCAATATCATTAAACCACACTTTACGAACCCAAATCAAACAACCAAAGGCAATGTTCATTTTTGTTCAAGGTAGACTTGGGTCAATCCAATCATTCAGCAGAAGGCAATTTGCACTATATATTTTATTGACCAAAACTCTACCTTGATCATGTTGCCAGCTTTGGTTGTGTGACTGGGTTTGTAAAGTGTGGTTTAATTAGTATAGTGATCAAGTCTACCTTGAAAGTTCAGGAAGAATTAGTATGAGGTCAAAAGGAAAGAATGTAATCACTAGAAAGTCCTAATGACAAATGAGCAGCATAAACCTGCCGTAATTGCATGCCGCTCAGTTGTTATTATAACTTTTTAATGATTATATTCCTACTTCGAGAACTTACAGTAATTCTTCTGAAATTTTATCCATTATCAGTACCTCCAGGCTGATATAGAATAGAGTGGAAGATCGTTCCAGCATGTAAACAAACACTGATTGTTCTCTATTAACTTGTATCCTGGCCCATAGTTCTGCATTAATGGCGTTGTCACCTGCAGCATTCTTTCATAATTCATAGACACCCTCCTGAACTCAGCTAATTGAAGCGATGGACGCCATGTCTTCAGAAACTTTCCATGCCTCTCTTTTCTATCAACTCCATCACAAGCAACCATATTCTTTATCTCCTCCCCAAGAATCATTCTTTCCACCATGATTCTCTCTATTTCTCTCTCCTTTGGAACATTAGCTTCCAAGCAATCGAACAGTGCAGCATAGAAGTTCAGTGCCTTATCAAGCGTATCTGTCAAACTAGGCCCATTGTTATCTGATTCTTGTTCCGTAATGACCATGAGCCTGGGATGGAGTTTCCAAAGCTGAATTAGAAACTGCCTCATCTTAAGTAGAACATCTGAATCAGGGCTGACTTGATCATCAACTGCAAGAAGAGAATGGAGAATGAGAACAGAACTTATAGCAATGGGCTCTCCTGGCTTCAAATGAGGCAATGTCTCAAAGCAAATATTCTCTAATTGGCCAACAATGGCATAGAGTTCGAACGGGAAATTCATTTTTTGAGCTTTCTGAATCAATTCAAACCCCATTTTTTCCAGAATATCTTTATTCTCATGTATCATGGTGATCTTCACAAGAGGCAGTCGGCTTCCTTGATGTTGCTCTTTCAAAGTTTGAAGAAGATACACCCATTGAGCAGCATTACTGGCACTGAGATCAATTATATGAAACACTGGTTCTTCTCCCATGGCTTCAAGAATAGCCTGGTTGGTGATCAGATAAGAGAACTTCAAGAATGGGAGAAAGTCAAAGAACAACTTTCTGGCATATTGTCGTTCTGAAGTTGACCAGGGAAATTTCAAACAATTAAAGACTCCAGGCACATGGCGAATCTGTTTGATCAGCCTGTAACTAAATGCCATTTCGAAGAAAGTAGCAAGCCTCTGCATTGTATCTCCATCAAGTGAAGAAACACAAGCAATGTCCTTGAGTGCAATGCCTGCATTCTTGAAGTCACCATCTTCAATACACTTAGCACAGATTGCCAGGTGACGAATAAGAAATATGCCTCTGTCTTCCCCTTTTAGGCCACTGAAGCATTGCCTTGATGAATCTGTTCAAAGAGAGAGACAACCAGAGATGAATAAAGAACTAAGAAGCACTAGCAGGTAAAAGCTGATCCTCTTGATGAGCAATGAATGTGCTCTGCAGAAGGCCAAACATTGATCATCTTGATGAGCATGGAATGTGCTCTGAAAAAGATGATCATCTTGACGAGCATGGACTGTACTCCATAAAAGCTTGACTATAATCTTAACCATAATATCTTAATTATTGTTAGGAGATATTCATTATGTCTCTTGTTAATTCAAAATTTCATTGAGAAGTGGGCTGAGTTATATTATTATTATTATTACTATTATTATTATTATTATTATTATTATTATTATTATTATTATTATTCAATCTGCCTCTTTTCATTCAAGATTGCAGAAAATATTAAGTAGTTTCTACACACACACACACACTATATATATATAAGGATGAAATTGATCTCCAATTGGGGTAAGTGGTAGTTAATGAATCCTATTTCCTCCTGAGAGGGTCTCTTCCTGGATTAGTTGATGGACAAGGATGAAAGCATTCATGCTTTAAATACCAAGAAAAAGATTTCTGTGAAAAGAAAATGAAAGATGGACATGTTCCTCTAGGACTAATTCTTCTGACCCCGTCAGGTTTTCACAAACTATTGTTTATATGTATGGGCAAGAAGGATTAAACACTATTATTTGTTTGTTTTATGTATTAAGTATATATTAGTTTATGTAAATAAATAAAAACGGCTATTCTTCTTTAGCACTTCTGCTTGTAGGTTCTCAAATTGATATTTTCACAAAAAGGCGTCACTGTTAGTCTGTTACTCAAATGTCACTGAGGAAATTAATAGTTTACAGTGGGGGAAAAAATTTGTATTTATGTTTTGTTCTATTGAAATAGCACATCTTCTTGTCTATTTCCTCATCTTCAATTCAAAGCCCATTTGATTCTAAGACTTCAGGGAAGCTCAAATCCAAGTGTTCGTACCTGGTTTCATTATATGAAGATCAGTACACCAGAGAACCCAAATTGTTGGATGTCAAAGGAAGGAGCAATATATAAATTTCCTGTATATATATGTGCTCAAAATGAAATTTCTCAAACGGTTCCTGTTCATGGAAGTAAATCTTCATGAGACAGATACAATAGCCCAAGAAAGAAAAAAAATCTACACCAGTACCTCATGATTTACAGTGTAAAAGCCCCAAAAAAACCAAACGTTATGCTAGTTGGATTAAAAAAACTGAAATGCTTTCTTCCCTTGAATAGAACTTAACATCTTTTTTTTCCCCCCTGTTTGTCAATCTTCAAAACCGATGATCTATATGTGTGTGTGTACAAAATCTATAACAAATTGCACTATTCATGTAAGTTGTGATAGTGCAATTTGTTCCTCCAAGTTTTTGTAGTGCATGGAGCCTTGTATCTAATTTCATTATGATAATCTTAAAATGGAGCTCAGATGTGAGAGTGTATAACCTGGTTGTATTATGAAGAGCAGTACCCTTGAGACTTCAAACCATTAATGGATAACACACCAAAAGAAAGTGAGCTACCCAGTGCAAAACAAAGAGCTTCCAAGTAATGTGAAGTGAGGAAACAGCAAATTGTAATTTGATAAGGTATTTATAGACTCTGGCCAGGAAATTCCCTTGAAGTTTTCCTCAAATTTTAATTTCTTGTAGGCGGGTGATGAGACAAAAATACTGATCTGGTTCTCCTTGATTACTTCACGTAATAAAATTCACATGTGTGTGTGTGTGTGTGTCTTATAGATGTCCTCAAATCTGGAGGACATTACTTATTTTATTATAGAATATTCTGCGATTCTCATTGTTAATAAAGTCATCTCTTGTCGTACAGTGCCCGTTCACTAATTAAGTTTGCCTCTTAGCATATGTTTTCAGTAATGTGAAGCTGAAATATTTCATTTTTTTTTTTTAAATATTTGATAAGCTAAGTTATAATTTTAGTCATTTAACTTTACACAAGGTTTCAATTTAGTCCCTTAACTTTAAAAAATACTTCTACAATCCTAAATGCAAAACACATTTTGTCGTGTAATTTATACTACAAAATGGGTTTTACATTTAGAATTAAAAGAATATATTTTAGTTTTTTAACCTTAAAACCATTAAAAAAAATAATGATCTTAAGATATTAAATGTTAACAAAACATTTTCAAATGCTAACATATTAAATTTAATTTTTAAAATAATAATAATTGTTACAAAAAATTATCATTTAAGAAAAAAAATTTTAAGATTAAAAGATTAAAAATATGCTTTTTTTTAAATTAAGGGACCAAACTAAAACCTTGTACAATAATAAAACATATTTGATACTATTTCCATTCCTTAATACAAGAGTTAGTTGATTAATTTGAGTAGATTAAAAAAGTTTGTTAAGTTAGTTACCTATAACAAATAAGCATTATCTTTCTTAGAATACCTTTGTTACTACTATTTGATGAAACCTTTAACATGTATAATTATTACAAGGACTATCTTGAAAAAAATAGATAAATATAAGAGACAAAGTGGATTGGGATCTTATATTTAAGATCAAATTAAAAGTCAAATTAGTTCTTATATTAAGGATCAAAATTCGTCTTACGGGTTTAAATTCGATTATTGCTGAGACCAATGAAGATTTGTTTTCCCAAATGTTATTTTTTTCCCTACTCATAAGGTTTAAATTGTTAACCTTTGCAAGGTCAAAAAAAAAATATTAATCTTTGAATTCTTTCTACTTGAGCAAACGTTGCTGATGGAACTCCCTACTATTGTTGCGCTTGCTCTTGACATTAAAACCTAATTCATCAATATGTAACATAGATTTCTTCTCCTAAATTTAAAAACACAAAGGAAAATATAAAGATGTTGTTATGTTAGCCTTAATTAATGAATATTGCCCACTAGCTGAAAGTGTTTTTGTATAAAATTTCTATAATCCATCTATTGATTATTTTTATTTATTATTTTTGCTCAAAATCTATCAATCCATCATATCTCCATTATATTTATAATTAAGATTTGAGTAAATATTATTAATTAGTCAATTTAATATTTTTAGCTTCTTTTTAATGAAATTTTTGTCCCTCGCAGGGTTTTCTCATGTTAGATTTCACGTGTCATCTTTTGTTATTTTCTTTTCTTATTTCACTCCTTTAATTTTCAATTGTTTAATCATTTTAATTCCGTTTATCTTCTGTGTGCTTCCCAACAGACATATGCCTGTCTATATATAACATTATTTAGCATGATATATATACGGTTATAAATATAGGGACCATATAGTATATGTACATGATGAGCTACACATGTCTAATATTTCTACTGATCTTGCTTTTTGGGCAGCAGAAAAAAAGGGAAATAGAGATAGTAATAATTAACCTAAACATATCAGCAGATGGGTTCCATCTTCTTACATATTTGCTTATAGAGTTAAAGGATGCAAATTTATCTTAAAAGTTTTTTCCTCAGAAACATTGGGTATATGAGAGTTTTTTTAGGTACAAATTTACCTCACAAAATTTAAAATTATTGAAATATTGTTCCCATACCATTAAAAATGTTAGTTTTTTTAATGATATGGGAACAATATTTCAATAATTTTAAATTTTTAGGATAAATTTGTGTTTGGAAAAACTTTAAGGTATTCAATACTTTTAAATAAAAAATTTTAAGGCAAATTATACCTTAACTCTCGTTTATAATATAATATAGAGAACCCTAATCCGCAATCAGGTCTACTAGATACTGACATAAATAGTTACAAATGAAAGCTTCAATGGCCACTGTTATGAAGACAGATATATCTATTTGCACGTCTTCCCTTCTCATGCCTAGCCACGGGCCTCGACCTACACACATACATATACACACAGATAGCTATAGAGAGAGAGAGAGAGAGAGAGTTTGGGGATTTGTTTTGTCATCGGTAATCTTAATTATAGGATAGTTTTGATTAGTTTAACCTTAAATTTCTTTTGATATATGTTTTTTTTTTTTAATTTCACCTTCAATGTATGGTTTAATCCTAAATTCTCTGAGAATGCTCATGATACTGATAGAGTTCCTGTATATTTTGACTCTTGTATCAATCTGTGCAACTTAGTCAATATGCATGTAAAACAGTAAAAGGATATATAAGATTCTCACAAATCTAATTCCCTGATTTGTATCAAGCTGTTGCCTCTTGTTCCCATTTCAACCAAAAAGGAAAAATGAAAAGCCCATTTTGTGACGTTAGGTAGGAGGGATCAGGGATAAATTGGGATTGAGGAATACTACATAGGTGAGGTTGCTTAATTAGAAACAAATTAAAAGGTGATCTTAGTGAGATACTTACTATGAAATACTACCTCTGATTTCTAATATAAGAACTAAGCTTAAATTTGATTTTAGATATAAAATTTTAATTTATTTTGTTTTTCTTATTCATTTAAACTAACCTTATTGATAGCGTATATTAAAGGAATTTATATCACCGAGTAGTTTCAATTCAAATTATTTAAGAGTGTATTTTAAGAAAATCAACATATATTTTTTTTTATAAATAACTAATTTAATTACTTTTCTCACATGAGATAATAGTATTAAAAAATTGAAACACATAGATTTTAAGTTTCCATAATTATACTAAATACTAAAAATTAAAATAACAGTGAGAAAAATCAATCGAACAACCCAAATGTCATCCAAGACGCCTTGACACTATTAACACTTAATTAATTAACCTGTTTATAAGAAAAAAGTTATGATTAGATTTAATTTTATGTGTGATCCTAAAATTTTTATAAAACATAGGAAGTGGGAACCCTCCAATTCAAAAAATTATATATAGACATAATATACAGTCGAATTAATCTGTCTTTCTTGTTTAGTCGTAAGAAGAATTCCTTGTCATTAACTTCAAGATTGGATCCTGATTAACAAGATTATGCTCGGCTGGGAGATTTTACGAGGGCGGAAACTTTTTGGATTATTTGCTGTCGGACAAGCAAAGTTTCATAGAATATATCTGTAGTTCCTTAGAAAACTATAATAATTAATTTATTCTGTCGAGCATATCTATGTAATACATAAAATTATAAGGAACAATTAAAACACAAGCATAGAATTTTGTATGGATATAAATGAAGCAGAGCAAGAGTAATGGATATGATCATATGAAGTTACCTATATATATATATATATATATATATGTGTGTGTGTGTGTGTGTGTGTGTGTGTATGTACGCGTGTAGAGTGTATTTATTTACAATCGAAGAAAAATCAATGAATTAATTTCAAATCTAGCTTAGAAAAAAAAATTAAATTTAAAAATATAAATAAAAAATTATTGATTGGCCCAAAATATACTATGTAAAACATTCAATTTATGGCATTAAATCTTGGTATTCTTTGTTAAATATAGGGAAAAAATATATATATATATATATATATGTTTTCTGGCTAGGTATAAATATCTTTATATTAGAGACAATTTTGTTCGAGATATTATAGGAACTCTTCAAGTATATCCCTCACACATATTTGTTCCTGTGCAATTTCAGGTTTATTGGGCCAAATGAACTCAAATTGGGCTCAAGACATCAAGAATATTCAGTCCATTGAGCCCAAAACCATGGCCTTCTTCATATTTGAAAAAACATTAAAGGATTAACCACTGCCGAAAGTGGTTTAAAACTAGGAATAGAAAAATATAGATATGCACCACGTTGGGCGGGGAAGGTCGTTCATCTTGTATAAATAGGACGGTTATGATCTTATTTAGGAAAAAGCACCAAATAGCAATAGGGTTACATCCATTTAACTTGTGATAATTAAACTTTAATTTAGGATTTTAGTAGTTGAATTTTTTTTTTTGTTTTAAAGTAAATTCTAACGCACGAGAGATTGATTTATATTTTTCAAAATGCTAAACTAGAATAATATTTTTTGGGGTTAAATCTTATTTTACTAGTTTAATTTTGTTTTATTTACTCAATAATGATGGATCTACTTTATGTCATTCGTCTTGTTACATTTAGAAATAACATGCTATCACTAAGCAAAGAAAAGTTGGTACAGTTAGTAAAGAGTTGGCTCATAACTTACAAAGTCATGGGTTCAAATCCCACCACTAATGTGATAGCCATGTTGGTAAGCTCCTGGAACCCATATCGCCTATTATTATTTTTACCCGTCAATCCGAAAAGCAAGAAAATAAATAAATTAAATATGGTTAAAACTGAGTTATTTTTACTGACTCATTTCCTTTATTTATTCAATCACATATTGGTGGAAAAATGTAAACAAAATCTTCTATAACCATGTATTTCATGCAACCAGAAAGATATAAATACAATGTGGTATATCTTATATAATGCCTGAAACTCACTGTTACATCCATCTCTTTTCTATTATACAAATTACATGTTTAGAAAGAATTTTATTTTTAAATTTGCAAACATGGACCTTCATTTTCTTTATCTGCTGAGTCACATTCTGTTGTTTTGTTCATTTTGGCACTAACAGTGTCAATTTAGTTAGATTGATTGATTAAGTTTTGCCATAAGCTAAATTAATTTGGTAGAAAAATGTGTCCAAACTTATGAGTGGGTAATCAAATATTATTCAATTATATCTCTTCAAAACCATGGCCCTATAATAATACGAGGGACCTTTCAAATATTGCAGCAATATCACACATTGTTCATCTTCTGAAACTCCAAGCTGATACAGAAAAAAGTGCCCTATCACTCCAACACAAAAGCAAACAATCCTTCTCTTCCCTAATCTTGTACTTATACCCATAGCTCTGCAACAACCTCTTTGCCTGCAACATCCCAAAGTAACTTAATGGCACCCTCCTAAAACCAGCCATTTCCAGCCTTGGAATCCATTTTTCAAGCTTCTCATACCTTTCCTTCCTCTCAAAACCCTCGCAAGCAATGATCCTCTTGATCTGTTCCCCAAGAAGTTCACTCTCAAGCTTCTGTCTCTCCAGTGAAGTCCTTGAAATAGTTGAGTCCAAGCAATCAAACAATGGACTGTAGAAGTACAGTGCCTTCTCTATCCTTTCCATTAGGTTTGACCCATTAAGGTTTGATTCTTGCTCAGTGATCACCATCAGTTTGGGTTGGAGTTTCCTTAGGGAACTCAGAAACATACCCATTTTAGGAGAAGCACTGAGAGAAAGTGGTGATAGTGCTGAGTCTGGACTTGAGATATAAGCATTGATCATGTCCTTCTCTAAGTATTCTGCAAAAGTCCTCTGGCTCATGTGTTGCTGATGAACAACTCTCTGCAGATTCATGGGTGTGGCTGGTGAGTTTCTTGCAGCTATTTCATCATCACTTGCAAGAAGAGAATGAAGCTGAAGAACAGAACTTATTGCAAGAGCTTCTCCAGACTTGACAGGCAAGCTTTCTACATCAAGATCTTCCAACTTGCTCACAATTGGATTAAACTGTAAAGGGAAGTCCAATTTTCCTGCTTCAGTGGTCAAATGAAGCCCCATTTGATCCAAAACTTCTTTCTTCTCATGAATCCCTGTGATTTTCAAATGAGGAGGGCCTTCTGGGCGTTTCTTCAGAGTCGTAATAAGGTCAACCCACTGTGCAGGTTCAGAAGAATGAAGGTCTATGATGTGAACAAGCTTTTCACCTTCCATGGCTTCAACAATGGCTTGATTTGTGGTCAAGTAGGCTAGTTTCAAGAAAGGACACAGCTCAAAGAAGTATTTTTGGACCAATATTTGTTCTGAGGTTGATGAGGGCTTTGAGGAATGGAGGGCTTTATAAACACCTGGTAGATTCTTCATGATTCTGTAAGCAAGGGCTTCACTGAAATAAGCCACCATTCTCTGAACTGCATCACCATCTGGTGATGCAAGGTGCGAGATGAACTCAAGACCCATGTCTGCGTTCTTAATGCTTCCAGTTGCTACACATTTTGCACAGTCAAGAAGAACACAGATTGGGTTAAAGCCTCCATTGTCCCATCTCAGTTCTCTCAGCCACTGGTAAGGTGAGCCTATATTTAGAATAGCAGAAACGAAGTTATATTTGTCATTTCCAAAGCAATATGAAGATTTTTATGAAGAAATCATAGGGTCATCATTAAAACATCAAAATGAAACACTGTGTGATTCTATCGATGGATGAAAAGGGATTATATTAACTTTGGTGTTGTGGATCTTAAACAATAGAATAAAAATTTTTGATGAAGCAGAGAGACAAAACACATGGTGAAAGTATATTACCAGACTCCATACAGGTTGCTCTTCCTGAACCAAGTGAACAAGAACACAAAAATCAACTTGAGAAATTTCCCAGAAACCTCCCAGCTGAGAAACCAAACTAGGAGGCTTTGAAGCTTCCGGGAACTAAATATTGAAAATTGAGTAAGCTGCACAATTCTTATAGTGAGGGTTTATAAAGAAGATAATTGAGTCTGATGAAAACATTGAAGCTGTTTCTTTGTGGTAAGGCTTAAGAAAAAACAGACAAAAAGAGGTTGATTTTGTCACCACCGGTTCATAGTGATCTTGTTTTTTAAGTTATGAGCCAGAGAGGAAGATGAGAATTTCTGGACAGTTATCTCTTATAATTGTCAGTATGTGGACAAAAGAGGAGTTTCTGCTGGCCAACAAGGGAATCATAGTCGATTACAAACAGCAACATGACAATCTTCACGCAGGTTTCCTTTAACCAAATTTTCAGGTAATCTTGGTTTATAGATAGATAAAAAAAAGGGAAAGTTAAAGCAACCATTCATATATAGACAATTAGTAAGTTTAATATGTAGTTTAACACTTTAACTACTTGGATGGAAACCAAACCATGGTTTCAAAAATGCTTTTACGGTTTACGAAGTAAATATGTGGAGAAGTTTGCCTCATTTTGCGAAAAAGTGCTTCTGAGAAGCACTTTTCAAAGTTGCCAAACACCCCTAATCTAATATGCATGATTGATGATTCATCTTTGAATACTCTTCCACTCAATTGAGACAGTGAGTTTATTTGTACAAACCCTTTGGATTTGATTTATAACTTTTATTATTTTAAAGTTTACAGTATATTTTTTAAGACCGCTGTTAAAAATGTATTTTTATCTCGTACATAATGCTTTTTTTTACTCTCTCCAATCTTTAATATAAGACCCAGTTAACTAATTTGAAGATATTAAGAAAACTAAATAAATTACTTTAAAATATTTATATTTGTCATTTTTTTTCCAAACTAATTTGTCTTCTTTATAAACTTATATATAATCTAATAATATATAAATATTTTAGAAAGATCATATAACATATATTATAATTGAAAAATTTATTTAGCTTCCTTAATCTTATTAAATTAATCAACCGGTTTTATATTAAAGATCAGAGATAATAATTGAAAAAAAAATTAATCTTAAAAGGAAACATATGACTAAATTGATTTATTTATCTATTTATTACAAGGGAGTGATACTTAGTACAACAAGTTTTGGTTTTGTTGTTGCTCTATAGATGATGACGATAAAGAGATGCAAGAAAAGTCCTAGGAAATGCCTCCAAAACAAGAGTTTGATTTATGCAGGAAAGGGCCATCCACTTAAAGAATTGCGCTTAAAGGGAAGAAGACAAAAGTGGTTGTTTGTAAAGAGGCATTCTTACATGTGAATTTGAAGTTTCAACCATTTTTATCTTTGGCTTCTTATGAATTTATGAACCAAATAATATTCTGCTTACTTAGAAGTATCCTATGAGACACTAGCATAGGACTCATAAATATGACCAAGTTTGCCTTAGTGTGATTCGTTACTCAGTGGTGATTAACAGCGTTAGATCATGTCCTATTTACATAACCTGTTTTCCCCTCCAGTTGATTCTCTCACCTTTTGTTTTTTTTGTTTTTTTAAAGTGTTTTGCATCACTTACCGACTCATATAAAATACTTTATTTATGTTATCATTTTTTTTTTTAACCAGGAGTATTCTCTGCCGGTAACAGAAACTAATCTTCCTAATACAGAAGGCAAAAATGCCTATACTTTTCAGTTAAATTTGCTCCCTATACAAGGATTTGGCATAAAATCCCCAAATTATTATGAGTTAAAATCGAATGTTATTGTGATCTAAAACTGATCCAATGTGATACAAAATTGGTTATAATTTAAACCAATACTTTAGCTCAATCTAGTCTGACCCAATATGATTGCCATCGCAAATTAAGTCAAAAAATTGAATGGCCTCTTTTGTTAAGATTAAAGTGCATTTTTCCTAAAACTAGTGCGCATAATCTATTACTTCTCTGGTCATTAATATAAAACTCATTTAATTAATTTGATTAGATTAAGAAAGTTAGGTAAGTTAGTTAATTATAAGAAATGTGACATGTTTTTCCTAAAATACCATAATCATCTTTGTTAATACCCCATCTTCCTCTTCTACTTGATTATGATTGAGGGAGTATCTATAAAAGTAATTTAGCTAAAATTAATAAATATGAGAAATGGATCTTATATTTAGAACCAAAACCAACTCAATAATTGGGTCATATATTAAGAACCGGAGGAGTACCTTCTATGCTCAATAGTATGCTAGATATTTCTCATTTAAAAAAAAATTTTGGGTAATTATATCGCCTTCTACACACTAAATATGATCTTTTTTTTTTTAACAAAAACTTTAGGTAAGTTGAGTTCTAGGAACTCATCAGGTCTAGTACATGCTTCTAGGTTCAGAAAGCATTTATAAAGATATTTACAGATCGTTCAGTAACAAGGTTTTTATATCAATAACAAGATTCCAACTGATGATTTTATAGGGCATGAGCTGAATTCTTAGTAACTGTATATATGATCTTAAACTATTGATGTGAAACTATGAATCAGTCAACTTCCTCTATGTATGTACGGGACGTAATCAATGCCGTTGGCTCTAGAAAATTATTACTATTTTAGTAGTACCAGACGATTCAATATTGTCGATTCATATTTTGTCATTTGGTAAATTTCACCTAAAAAGATTATCCCATTTAATTTTAGTTTATAAATTAAAGTAAAATGATAATAATACAATGGCAAATATGCATATTTATCATCTAATTTTATTTTAATTTTATAAGCTGTCTTTTCAATGCTCTAGTCCTAGCCTTAAATAATGATTTTTTATACCATTTTTTTTTGTTATAAGTCAGAGTATCCTCAACTTATTTTGGACTTGAGATTAATATCTATCATGCTGAGAGTGTTAAGGATAAAGTCCTCCCAATAAATGCGCTTCTCAAAATTTGAACTTATATTCTCTTTCTTATATGATGAAACCACTTACCATCTTAACCAACAACTTGTTAGGTATACCAACCATTGTTAGTTTTAAAAATTAAAATTAATGTGCCGGTATTTGATGTTTTGTCAATATTTAAAATTTTTTTGTTAGCGTTTTTTTAATAAAACCGGCTGTGTTAGAGTTAGAAAATTTTTATTAAAAAAAACACTTTATAAAAATTAAGAAATTAAAATTAAATTTTTTTATGAAGTTCGAGGAAAATACATTTTTGCCTAAGACAAAATACTTAACCAACATTACATGGATATTGCCAAAACTGGGGTCTTTGCTTTGAAAGAAAGCATATTTGTCTAAACCTTAGGGATCGGTCAGAACAATGCAAAGCTATGGAATTTAAATTTTGCATTGCCTTACATTTTGTAACTTCCTGTTGGATTTTCTTTCTATCCAAACAAAAGCTAAGGACCCATACTTCTGTGTCAGGACAAAATATAAAATAAACCTAAGCATTTAGCGTTTTGGAGTATTCGAAGATTTCGTTAATTGTACTCTGAATGGAAAATATATAAGTCAATTTTTCAAAGAATAAAACTAATTTAATTTTTATGGTTTGTTTAATTTAGGTTTAGTTCATTTAGATCATGGCTATATTATTATTATTATTTTTGTTGCATTATAAATGTTTGAATATTAAACCTCCGCCCACATCTCACCTCAATCTTATTAATTAAACTAAAAAAGGAAAGAAATAGGAAGCTGAGAGAGAGAGAGAGAGAGAGAGAGAGAGAGAGATTCTATCCCATTCAATTAGAAGTATTTTGTCCTTCCATTTTGATTTGATAGCTATACTACTGATCATATCATATGTTTCACCGTAGATTTCAAAGCTGCATTGTTCTATGATATACTTTATGACAATAATGATCTTATTTGAACCAATAAGGTCTCTTCAACTACAGAAATCAAATTGTATTGCATTCATAAGCACTCTCTTTAGACTCCAGAAATACTTCCAGTTCCATACTTGTGGGGATAGACAGTCATGAACAACACCTTAGTATGATATTTGAGTGTTTACAATTAAATAGACCTCTAAATTGAACTAATCACAATGCACACTTCCATTAATTCCTATGAGCTACAAATGGGTGAATGGGATTGCTTCTTAATAAATCAGTAAATCTGCTATTACTAAATTCAAATCCCCTAAGCTGGAACAAACCATGGCAGTGGTCACAGTGGGCAGAATGACCTGTTTATGGCGGGAGAATTCACCATGCAGAACTCTAATTTTCACCATTATCAGCCAAAATCGAAAAACGAATATCAATGTGGGATGCTTTTCATATTGTCGATTTGATGCTCTTCCCATGAAACTCCAGATCCTCTTGCATAGCATCTGGGATCTTTCACGCTCTTAGTCTTATAAAATATGTAAAGCCAATTTTTTCTTTAAGTAAATTATGCAGATAGCATACTGAACTTAGATGGCAGGTTAATTTACGATTTACATATCTTTTCAAAGTTGAATCTGCTTCATAACACTTCAAAGTGAAAGGACAGCTTTCCTGAAAGAGCTAAGCAAACTTCACCTCAAAGCTCAAATGAAGATCACATGAATCGTAGTTTAGATCTTTTTACACAGACAGAGATACATATATAGTTCAATAATGTACAATGTACAAATAGCAAAGGAGCATTGCTAATCAAGTCAAAAGCTTATGTACAGATCATAATAGCTGTGACCAAAATTTTAGCCTGCATGTGTTAACTAGATACTGATTCTCATCGACTTCTCTACCTATAATCTTGTGTGCAGGATCACTCGGTGAAAAAATTGAAAGGAAAATCAGGACATTTCCTTAACAAAATATACAGATTGCTTCTTGGCAACAAAGAGTGTTGCCATTACCTTCATATCCGTTCAATATCCCAAAACCGGCACTGCATGGGGGGAGAATGCTTGAGTCAGCCACCCCAAACTAACTGGAAAATGTTCCTACTGGCAACTGCATTGATCACATTATTGCTCTCTCTTCTAAGCATGTCCTCTTGTGCACAAACATCTCCATCCTAGTAGAAGAAGACACTAAACATGAGGCAAATTGGCAGAGGAGGGGGTATAAGGAACCCCTTTGTTTTTTGTTTTTTTTTTTGGCCAAAGAGGGATAAGGAACAAGTCAGCTAAGATTTGACGACCAGGCTTCCCAAAGTTTATTAATTTAAGTGTAAACAACATTTTGAGTCACTGATATTTCGACAACATCATCGTATCATATTCGATATTGGTCTGACACTAACAACAAACATAACACCACACTTCAAATTATATTAAAACACTATATTTTGTGGTGTTGAAGTGATCGTATCATGTCATGCTTCTTAACTCTTAGATAAGTGTAGAATTTCATTGAAAAAACAAAGACTAGATAACCAGTTAAAGCATCTAGCATCGATGGAGGACCAAGCAGCCTTGAGTTGCCTCTCAAATCTAGTTCAGTATCCTGAAGTTCTCAAAGAGCACATTATTCCGAACACATCAAGCAAATGGTTCGAATATTGGGTGCTTAAAGGAAAGAAAAGACTCACAAGAAGAGAGTAGGCATTGGCAAGAGAGAGGAGCGTGGGGTACAAATCCAGCACAGCCAGGGCAACCTCCTCTGTAACCTGAGGGACCTGCATTTTTAACAGTCTGAATCAGAGGCATCAAACTGGTCTATAAGTCGAGTGTTTGGCACCATATTCTTTCATTTAATTTGCCAATAACCATTTCAACTCTAAGCTTATATTATTACATTGAAGTTAATAAGCAGTTCTATTTTAATCTCTAATGTGAGTCTGCCCATAGAAAAAATCCTTTGGGAATGAGCTGCAGACAAGCGCCTTGCTTGTGCTGAAATTACATTGAATCATGATGCCACGTCAACAAACACAGTGATTCAAGCTTGTAATGAAAATGAAGGTCCACTAGTAGCTTTATTATGATCTATAACAAGTTAGAAAGGAATGCTGTTCCATATACAAAATCTTTGCGAAGAGCAGACCTTGTAAATAAAATAAAGGTAGAAAGATCAAATGGTGACCAGCCAGTAAGCCTGGGACAATATATCTAATATCAATATATTAAGAAACCAGAAGCAAACAAAAGCTAAAATTGGCAGGCAGCCTATGCTTCTGAATATTTTTTGGATACAATAGGGGGAAGTTATACCATTCATGGTGGAGCTGTAAAAGTTTTGTCAAGAAGGATATTCAGAGTCAACACAGCTGAACCAAACAGATAACCACAAGGAAACACCATTCCCTTTTAATTTTGGATAAATGAATACCTGCATAAGCTGGACAGCAAATACATCACTGACTGTCATTTTGTCAATATCTTGGCACCTTTTGATAAATTCATCAAAAGGAGGGCATGTTCCAGAGCACTGAACATGGTCGTCCAGAACCATGGTCTTGTAATATTGAGAAATTGCTTGGGTAAGATAACCATACTTCTTCAGGGTATCAGCCAAGCCACTTGTTCTCTGCACATTAAAACCTTCCAAAATCTCTGTTGTAAAACAGCTACACCCAGAGATACCCAAAAAGTTTTTCATCAGGATATAATGTTGACAGTGGAGCAGAAAGTTTATAAGAATAACTATGTAATCGATAAAAACTCAACAAATGCACTTGATCAATCATTACTAAACCAGATTAGCTACCCAAATTATTCTTACAGGCACATACAAAAGGCTGGTGCAAATTAGATTTAATGAACTTATTGAAGTTGATATTAAGCATTTAGACTAATGTTCCAAATGAACATAAGAAGTAACTGAAATATACTGAGGAATTAACGTCTCAGCTCTTGTTTATTTCATTCAGAATGAGCGAGACGTATAGTTGGTGCTAGGGTTACAGCAATAAATCAAAATCAGATTCTAATCTGATAGCATCTTTGACTACCCTAAAGATATGATCTTCTAATGACAGATAATTAATGAAACAATCAGAAAAGGATCTAAAATAATTAAAACTTATAACAAACAATAAATCAGAGAACCAACAGGCCTTTGGGCCAAGCCATCAGCATCTCCAACAGTAACGTTTACCAAATAAATGGGTTTGTTTCAATTTTCAAAAACTTCTATAGCTGTTTTTCACTCACACCAATCAAAAGCATGTCAAGAGCCCTCTTCTTTTCAGTTATCAATGGCAGAATTACAAAAACTGTTTTCAATTAAAAAAACTACAAGAAGTGCCTAGCAAAGGAAATAGCCAATTTTGAAGAGTTGACTGTAAGGACAGTTGTTAAGAACATGTTGCAACAGCCACAATTTCAAATAGTGAATGGATTCATCCCAACATACGAACAGCATAACATGAATCAACTAAGAATTCGAAGAAAAGAAAAACAGAGAAATTATGCATACGCAGTTTTTATGCTTTCAGCAGCTTCAGAGGAATTTGGATCACCTTCCACAAGATATATCAGCTTCTTCAGTCCGCACCTCTTCCAATAAGCAATTTGAACAGGGAAGATATTGTTATACTATGTTTACAACTTATACAAAGATCATAAAGATATAGAGCAGCTTAAAATATTATCATTCGCACATCAATATTTTGTTCTGTAACTACTATCCAACTAGTTGTAATATGATTTGACCAAATAAACATACAAAAACAGGTCACCTCCTCCTATTAGGATTTAGTCTTTTTAAGTTGGAAAAACAAATTGCCTAAACACGGAAGTAATATTCTAAGACACCTAAAGAACATAATCAAGCCCAATTAAAGGCCCATGCCTGGTCAACCAGCAGAACAAACAGTACAGCAGAATGTAGAATATGAGCTTATAGGAAGCACTGTTCCTGCTAAGATCCCAAAAGGGCCCCATTATTTGGTAAGCTAAAAACCAACGCTAGAGAACTGGAATTGGTTGTCGAACACTTATAAATCATCAGAGGCTGCTGCCAACATCCCGCATCATCAAGAAATATAATGATGGACCCAAGGCCATAAGGTGTCCGGAAAAGGGGCCCAGGTTTGCATTACCACCATATGGGAAAGAAGGTGAGAGAGAGACAGAAGAACGAGTTAGTTAGAAAGTGGGACATATAGTGTGGGAAAAGTGAGGTGATCAAACTGTGATTGTTTGAATGGGAGAGATTGGCCTCTCAAATGCTAGCTTAGTGTGTTTTCCATTGTTTTCTTTGTAGTTGACATGCTTAGACCTATACTCTAGCAAATTTCTCTTACTTTGAAATCGTATAAAGCTGAGTCCCATCATTATAACCAGTTAACACTTAACACATACAATTAACCTCCATACGTGCAAACAATTTTTAGAAAAACAAAGAAAACAGTTCTGATCTCCAAGAAGGATTATGTACCAAAAGTCTTAATTTTTGATCCTTATAGCGGTTGTCCCTGATTGAAGAACGCAAATCATCAACATTCTTCCTCTCGACAATAAAATCCAGCACATATTCACTGTCAAGAGTTTTATGGTGAGCTATCCAAATTCCATCTCCAACAGGCAATCTCCGAACCTGGGAATAAACCAATTTGCCAATTGTTATTACCAAATTCAGAACAGAGAAAAGCTATATTTTAATTATAGTTCCATCCAAGTAAGATTAACATCACCTCTTATATGTTCTACAATATTGTTAACAAGCTCAAATTTAAAGGCTCCATTAGAAAACACAAAGAGAAACATAATGGATTCAATAGAAGGGAGGTTCTGATACATTTTACTTGTTATTGGCCAACACCAGGCTTCCAAAATACAAAATTAACAGATCCAAGAACAAAATTGTACATGCGGTGCTGCTTTTTTGGGGTGGGGGGGAATAAGTCAATCAATGGGAACTGCCTGCATAGAGCAGAATCATCAAAACTCACATCTATTTGAATTTTGAATTGACTGCGGATATTCTCTATAATTCTCCTGGATCGTGATCTGAAAATAATAAAAAAATAAAGCTTATAAAATTCATTAGCTCATTAGACAGGGAAACTCATTCATCCACAGTTAAAAGATGACATTATGTAAATATCATAAAGTTTGAAAGAAAGAAAAAATTTCATGACATCACTATCCTAACATCCAAAGGGAAAATAAAGAATAAAAGAAAATGCATACTTTATTCGCAAATAATTTGCACTCGGACAGCACCAAAGATAATAATAGATCTAAAATCACATTACTCACCCCTGAGTGGCAAATTGCTCCCGATCATCCAGTATTAAAATCACTTCATATGCATCTCCAAATCTCTCCCCCAGGCTCAGTGGCGGCAAACTTAAACTGTTCACCGTTGATTTAGGCCCCTCTCCAATTGATTTTGGCATAGCATGGTCCTAAGATTTTCGGCAGGGCAAGCAACCATTTCAAAAATAGTTCTACAAATCATAAACTTGAAGTGAAAACCATGTATATTGATAACAAAAATCCTTTAAGTTTTGCAATTCATTGCAAGATTGATAAGAAAATTTACAAAAATACAATGCACTTATCGATAATAACTCTTATGCATTCAATGCAATGTCGAAATTTGAAGGCATTTATACTGTGAAATTTAAACATGAATGCAGCGTTGAAGAAGTTTCTAACTAATGCACTAAAACAAAATACTTCTCATTTGATCCCCAAAAACCCAACAAATTAAGGATCCCTAATTTATATTTATAAGAAAGGAACAAGATGAATTTCATGAAACAGATAAAACTGTACCGATGATGAACAAGCCCTCAAGGAAAAAGATGTATCAGGAGACCCAAAGCTCGGCATATTCCCACAAGATGCACTGACAGATCTGTTCTCATTTCCAGTGAGACCAATCGAATCTGGACATTATAAAGTGGCTTACTGGCATAAAATGTTTATTAATCTTATTGATGAAATCAGTGAAAAAAGAAAAGAAATACCTCTTGAGACAACGGTAGAACTTGTCACACGGAAATCATTTCTCATGGTTTGAGATTCCGTCTGTAAATCATAGACTTCCCCCTCTCTAAGATGACATAAAACAGCCGGCCACAAAGATGAAACATCCTTATCTGGGTGGCTTCTGGAAACATCAGTGAATGCACTAACAACTTGTTCCTTGGAGTAACCCATGCTTGTAAACTACGAAAGGAGATCAGTAGATGCATATAAATTATTAAACTAAAGAATGATGATCATCTGCAAGACATTACTTGACAAGAAAATCAATAACACCAGCCAACATTCAGACACACAAAAGTCATAGATTAGCTGTCGGAATAGGGGCAGGTAAGTGGGCCTCAGGGGAGAACTTTGAAACTGTAATCTTGTCTCTTTTACACAGGTTAGGCATACAAATGCAAAGAGGTCAATCAACTTAACCATGTATGAACTAAAAACGTAATATTGATAAAGGATGAAACCATGTTTACTGTAAAACACATATATCACCTTCTAAGATTTACACCAACAAACTTCTCAAAAACCATGGAAAGGAAAGATAATAGCAAAGTTATTGTTAAGAAATCTGATGATATTATTTTGAGAGAGCATCAAATGATACGATGGAACAAAAGATTACTTTACACTTAATACCGTATCAACAGTGTAAAGAAACATTTCAGCATCCTCCAAGAGAGATAATGAAATTAATTGACAGCCAAAATAACATACCCTCTCTAGAAAATCAAGAGGAATATTCATTAGCTTCTTTTGTTGGGTTGGTGGTGATATCACTTCAGTATCCGAGTCATGATCACTGTGTTGCATATCTAAAGTGTTCTGCCTATCCATATCAGAACATTCTATCGTAACTGAGTTCTCTTGGGAATCTTCCATTCCAGATCTTCTGAGACATTCACGAGCTGCTTCCTTACCTTCTTCAGTAAGCATGAACCTGAAAAAGGAAAAAAAAGCAAAAGTAATCCATAAAGATATTAAGTATTTCAACTCAAGAAAATCAGTACTAGAACTGAACACCAGAAACCAAGAGACTATAACATATAACAGCTCAATACTACTATAACTGTATCTATATTGTCAATAGTATAATAGAATTTAAACTTGCTTAGTCAGAATCACTTGACGCTGACGTGCCTGATTGTGAATAATAATAACAGGGGGGAAAAGGATTATTGATTCAAGATTATCAATTCAGTTCATACAAGGAGTATCCACTTCAGTAATACATTTAACAAATAAAAATTACAGAAACCTTAGGGATTGAAAGAACACGACAAAGTGAAACCATACTTTGCTGGACGGCTGGATTTTACAACTAAACTCTTTGTGATCAGTGTCTTCATGCAGCTCCATCCACTATACCAATCCCTCGGAGAACTTCCAAACTGTGGCTTTCCTCTTCCTTTTTCTGGCCTGAACGGTTAGGATCAGTTTGGTCAGAAATGTAGTTTTTAAAATATTGGCCAACAAAACAAAAATAGATGTAAATTGTATAAACATACGCAATTGGTGCTCGAGATAACCCACTAGCTTCAGCAGCATCAATTAGTTCCTCTTTATGCATAAACTCTTTCCCATTTGAAGTTCCCCTGGAATGAATACGTGCTCAGTTCAGAAATACAAGAAAATTTACCATGGTAAGTTGTGTAGCCTACCCTAAAAAGCGAAAAATAGACAAGACATATAACCTGGAAATGAACACTGCATAGTTTCGCTTCTATACATGAAATGTCACTAACAAATACAATTTTTGCACAACTAGCAGTTATATGCCGATAACATATGTACCTGTAAAGAGTTATCAACAATGCATATGCCACGGAATTTTTTTGAGGCATGTATCGTCTGCTTCTATTATTTTTCATTCCTGTAAGGGAAAGGAAGAATTAGGTAGAACTACAACGATTAATCAAATATAGATTGATGGACAAATAACGTAACCTCAATCAGACAATATAAAAATCACACAGCATCAGACGTACCCTTTTTGGTCAAGTCTTCAGCTTCAGAATTTCCAGAACCCGTCCCAAAAAATCCCTGCATGAGCTTCAAAATCCATTTTCCCACGCCCCTTCATATAATTCCAAACAAACAAACAAAAAAAGAAAAAAGCATTAAAGCAGGAAAAAAATCAAATTTCATTGACATACAAGACCCTTGATCCTCATTGCTTTGCCAACCCATTAGAGAGATCTCAAAGGACCAATAAGCAAAGACCCAACAAATATTTTTACTGTAAAGCTTCCGCTTTCAAATTCCAGAAATGTCACTCATTAGCAACATTGACCAAAAATTTACAAAAAAATTTAACTTCTAGATTACTCTCAATTACATATTTAGACAAATGCTAATTAAAAAAAAAGCACATACTTGACCTGGGAAAGGTCTTTCATGGTTTGAATGGGAGTTTTTGAGTTACAGACATTGTAGTAAGCTTTAGACAGAATCTTCTCAATGTTTTCTGAAATCCCTTTCGGTTTCTCTGCCAATTCTTTCCATTTATCGAACAAGTAAGCTGCAAGCTCTTTGTTCTCCGAGCACCGAACCCGAGCGTTCTTCTCCATTCGGCCCCTACAAGTTCTGTCCGGCGGAATGAGGTCAAAATTGGAATCTTTCCAGCAGATTAGTGGGGTAGTTTAGGGTTTTGCCACTTTGTTAGTGATCATCCTGAAAAACTGATGATTTCAGAAGCAACCATATCTTGCGCGCCAGGATCGCTTGGGTTCAAGGCTTGAAAACATTTTTTGAAATTGTGACACTTACGGCGCGATTCGGAGACTCGCTGGGTCAAACTCGGTCAATCACACTCGCAACTCGCAAGGCCCCTTCCTGCTATCAACGAGGAACTAAGTGGGCCAGCTTAAAGGCTTAGGATGAGGGCCCATTGTTGCTCTTAATCACAAAACCCAGCCCAAATTCTGTTAATCACAAAGCCCAACCCAGATTTTATTAGCACCGTTTAAAACCAAAAAAAAAAAGTCTCAAAAATCGAACAACAAGGCGATTGATTTATAACAACTGTCGTAAACCGAAACCGACGGGCATTGATGTGGACTTCGGCTACGTAAAGCATGAGATCTTAAACTCAAGTCCATGTAATTGCAAAAACGAGTTATCCTCCATTGAGGCTAACAATATTCGAATTTTAATTATTTTAGGTGGTTTAAAAAAAAATTAGACTTAAAAGGGCTAGCCTTATAGGGCTTAAAAATAAAAGGGTCAACCTTTTAGAGCCAAGAGCTAGCCCTTTTAAGCCCGTCTATTTTTTTAATTATTATCAATATATTTATAAAGTTATAGATTAGTCTTTTATGAATAAGTTTAAATTAGAAAAATACCTAGAAGAGTCAATACTCAAGCTAGATAATTGAAAAGAATTAAACGTCTTGGATTTGTGGAAGAACAATTAAAATCAATTTTCAATTCTTTCAAAAATGGTAACTGATATTCTTAACATTTTAATCACCATAATAGCTAGTAGATCTTCATTTACCATCGGTTTACATATCTTAACAAAGTGTAAAACTTTTCTTATTCGAACAAATGTTCAAGTTCTTATTTGTACTTATAACTACTGCATAGTTTTATTTCAGATAAGGTAAATGAAGACAAAAATCTTAATATTTTTATCACTAAAGAAGAGCTCACTTGTAGTAAAGAACAATCAAATATTGCTGATCTTGATGATACTGATGAAAATGAAGATAAAGATAATAATTATGTTGATATTGTTAATCTTTAACTGCCAGGTTTTATCTTTCTGTTTTTCGTGTTTTGTTAGATTTTGATTTTTTTTTATTTTGGACAATAGTTTATTGGCATTTAATTTTTTTTTTCTATACACCACTAATTTATTTTACTTATATTTATAATTTGAATAAAAAATCTTAGAAGTTTTGTTGTTTTATTTTTTATTTTAAAATAATTAAAAAGAATTTAAATTTTAAAAAATAACATAAAAGGGCCAGTCCTTTTAAGTCATGAGCCCACATGCCTAAGGGCCGGGCTTTAATAATTAGATAATTTTAAGGTATGTGGGCTTTAAAGGGCCGGCCCTTTTAGGCCCTGGCCCTTCAAGGGCTAGCCCTTTAGGGCCGAGCTGGCCCTTATTGACAGCTCTAACTGTAAATCACTTCTCTGGTCCTTAATATAAGAGCTAATTATGGAGTTAATATTGGTTCTATATATAAAACATATTTCACATGTTTATCAATTTTCTTCTAAATTAATCCTATTGATATTTTCCTAATAATAATCAAATAAGAAATGGAAAGAAAATTAAGAAAGATGTTTAAAATATTTTTTTAAAAAAATATCATATTAACTTATTTAACTAACATTTTTAATCTACTTAAATTAGTTAATTAGGTCTTATGTTAAGAAGTGGAAGAGTAGAATGTTATTAAATTTAGGAATATTATATTTAAGGTTTTTCTTTTGCTAGTGAAACTTATAAAAAGAACCAAACAATTATATAAGATAATTAATTATCCAAATCATGTAAAGTATTAATATATTTTAATTTAATTACTTCCAAACAATTAACTAACATGTACATGTAGCACGAAAACCATACTCAGAAAACTAGAAAACAACGTTCTTAATTTTTGTTTTCTTATCTAATTGAACATCTGATATAGCAATCACCGTGTCGTAAAGGCTAAGAAACACGCTTAACAATCTTCCTCATTTTGTCCAAGTTCCATTAAAAACCTTCCAAAACTTCAATACTCAAAAACCTCAGCCCATAAAAACACTCTCTTAAACCTCTTACCCTCCTTCTTCCTCCATTAAAACTCACATTCATCAAAACACCAGCTACTAGCCCCCCCCCCCCACACACACACACATATCCAACCAAAGTTCCAAAACGATCAAACATGAGAATGAAGTTGTTCGTGAAAGTTTTGTTGTGGGTTCTGGGAATAATGATCATCACAGGTACTGCAGAATTTTCAGAAGGTGAAGAATGCCAATCTGATCTGATAGGGCTAGAAATAGAGTGTCTTTATTACATGCACAAGGGGGTTCCTGCAATGCAAAACCCTAATGGTCGATGTTGCAGAGCGATTCATGAGGCCAATATACTCTGCGTCTGCTCCAAACTCACCCAGAAAATCAGTACGTATGATAAGTTAAAGCTTGCATTTTCATGGGTCTGTTTCTTTCTTTATCTTTCTCTCTTTCGTTTGGTGTTATGTTTCTTGAAGATGGTTGCTGTATCTTTTCGTATTTAGGCTCTTTAACCTAAAGTGAGAAAAATTTTTTGGTCAGTTTGTAGTTTCATGATGGTTATATTTCTCTGTTATTGTTTGATTGTGTGATAGTGATATTCTGAATTCATGCATTTCAGTATCTGTAATTTGGAAGATAATTTAATGGCCAGAAAAAATCTTAGGAAATAGATGAATATAAACCAAAAAAGAATAATTTTGGATTTTTCTCAAGTGTAAGATTTTGTAAAATTTAAGATAATTAGTATAATTTTTGTTTCGATCTGAAATTTTGGCTGTGAAAATTATTAAATACATTTAGTTTGATCCCTAAAATTAAAGTCTTATTATTTAAGTACTTTAAAAACGTACGTTATTTGCTTTAAATAGAGTCCAAGTTTCAAATGATATTGTCAATATGAAATTAAAAAATGAGCAGTGGATGAACGTTTGGCTGCCGTTAAATAAAAATGTCATTACAAAACATCAAAATAGTAATATTTTGTGGCTGTTTTGAGTGGAATAATGCTTTGTCATTACATTGTTTTAGGGAATATCATATAAATAGGTATTAAAAAAATCACAGGAATTTTATCGTTTTCTCTCCAAATTGAAGGCCACTGTATAAATATCCTTGCAACTACATACGTTTGCGCCCATTATTAATTATTAATTAGGGAGAATCTCACCCAAAAAAAATCATGAAATTACTAAATTCTAAATCAAATTTGGAAACAGTAGTTTAATAGATTTTGACAATACTGAATTTACAAATAACAACACAACTGTGTTAGGATTTATTATTTAGGATTTAGTAATTTTAAATTATTTTTTTTTGGGAATTCTCTCTCAAAAATTTCATAATCACTTTTTTAAGGGGAAAGAAAAGGAATATGGACTCTAATAATACGTTTGGATTGTTGGCCTGTGAACAGTAATACCACCAGGTTATACCATAGAAGATATGCTTGACTGGTACAAAGTGTTGAATTGCTTGAACTTCTGTGGCAGACCCCTACCTCCTGGCTTCAAGTGTGGACGTAAGTCCCTATTTTTTTCATACACTTATTTAATAAATTATACTACCTCATATCTTTAATATAAGAGCTAGTTGACTAATTTGAGTAGACTAAAAAAATTAGTTAAGTTAGTTATTTGTGATAAATATGTGTTATTTTTTCTCAAATACTTTTGCTAATCAAGCGTTATTTGATAAAATATTTAACATGTGCAACTATTATAAAGGCTGTTTTGAAAAAAAAAAGATAAATATGATAAACAAAATTGATTAGAGTCTTATATTTAAAACCAAATTAAAGTCAAACTAACTCTCATACTACCTCCGGTCCTAATTATAAGACCTTGTTTGTAGATACAAATAAGGTTTTATAATTAGAAACAGAGGTAAGATTAATTAAGGACCAAAGACAGTACTACTTACATTGGATTCTTAATATAAGATCTATTTGACTCATTTGAAGAGATTAAGAAAGTTACTAAATTACTTAATTATAACATATGTTACATTGTCTCTCTAAATATTTATTTGTATCATTGGATTGTATATCAATTTATAAGTGAGGTAAATTAGTTTAGAGAAAAATCATAAATATAAATACTTTAAAGTTAGTAATTTCCTTAATCACCTAAAATTAGTCAACTAAGCTTTCTATTAAAATCCAGAGGCAGTATTGGCTTCTTCTTTTTTTTTTTTTGCCATTTCAAACTTTTCATCATCATGATATCAATTTATATTCTTTCTGTTAATAATGTACTTGACTAATTTGAGCCAAAATATAAGTATAGTTTAATAATAATTAGAACACTTAATGTCTTTTTTTCTATTTTGCCTTTCTATATACAATTAAATATTATAAGTAATTAATTCGATGTAATTAATGTAGTTTTGACTTTTAATGTGGTAGATTTGAGATGGGAAGTATTACAAACTTTTTTTGATAGATATCTTTAATGATGTAACTTCTTTTTATTATTACTATTTTTTGTCTATATGTGGTGCTTAAATCAGACTTGTATTGTAGGCAGGAGTAATAAGAACATGCTGTGTACTTCAACCAACAATAAAAATTTTAACAGTTATTAAAAATTTAAGCGGTGTTATGAAAAAATAATTTTATATTCGCTGGCAAAAAAATTATATCCATTCTGTTTTACGTGAAATATTTTACGTGTGTAAATCAATTTTTTTACCAGCAAAGTTATAAATGTGTATAAATCAATTGATGGCTGAAATTGTTGGCAAAAAAATAATGGCTGAAATTCAAATATATTATATTAATAATGAATTGTAATTCCATATTTATTTACAAAGGATTTCTTTTCTTTTCTTTTCATAGATTTCACCGTCCCACCAACTGGACCCCCAGCAAAGTGAAGATCGGAAGACGGCTATGTTTTTGGAAGAAAGATACACTAATTTGTTCTGGT